AGGGTCTGTTTCTTTTTCATTTGAGCTTTTGCTTTGTGCATCTTTCATGGCCCACCGCCTGTGTTTATACCCTTTACCGACCAAATGAGTGTGTGTATATAGAGGTTTTTAAATTGAGGAAAACCCTCTTAAATAGGGCAATAGACTCTATTTTTCCTGTCGATATGCCTTTCTGTTTTTTTAAATGTGTGTGTTTACGAGAACCGGAAATCAGCTTTTAGTTAACAGAAGACGGCTGCTTGTAAAGCCACTAACATATTCAAGAGGATACTTTACTTTCTTTTTTATCTGTTACATATTTAATTTCTCTTTAAACTCACAAACCGGAGTTGGTGACTGTTGTGGAAAAACAAACAAACATGGTTTTGGTACGTTTTATTGAGTGTCTGCTCAGTTTAAATGGAGTGTGTTTAACGGCAGCATTTGTGTGAGTTGGAGTCAAACAGAGAACCTCTGGGTCTGCAAAATTCAAAGTGCATTAAACTTGCATTCTCTGGGTGTCAGACAACACATATATAAACTACAAATATGTTTCACATTCTTCTCTTGCTTGAATGACCTCACGAGGACTGCTTGTGCAACATGTGGCACCACAGCATTCTATAATGAGTATGTGCTAATTGTACATTTTCAAAACCCTTTTTGGTGGCTGTGAACAGAAATGGTTGCCTTTAAATAGAGGAAACGCATGGCTTTGAGATCCTTGGGTGGAACCTTTTGAATCACATGAATGCGGCAATGACTCATCCAGGTGAACACTAGGGTTGTTAGCATAACAGTAAAGTAGTGAACGTCTCACAGGACAACTGCATTACAATATCAAAGAGTCCCAGCTGTAGTTTCCTAACACCTTTCTTCCCCCATCTCTTGTCCCCCACATTTCCTTTGTTTCCTCTTTCTCCACCTTCACCTTCCACATTACCTTTAGCACATAAAGTCAGCTTCACTGTGATTGGCAGGGAGGACATTAATGTGTTATTCATTGGTTGTGAACCATTCCCATCTACCTGAGGGTCTGCCTGCGTGACCACTCATGCAGCAACTCTCACACAGGAAACACATTTTCCAATCCCTGCTTTGTAAAGTCATTTTAACACTGTTTCCAAAATATCACTGGCTTGTGGCTGCACTGCAAGCATCTCCGGTTTATGAAGAACCAAAAGGAGGTAGAGGAGATGTCCGGAGTCACTGTGACTAACTTTTCGGAAGGTAAGCGTCATGAATTTAGATCATATTCAGGCACGAGAAAAACAATGTGAATAATCATTAGTGCATGTTCGTGGCTTTGTGCGCTGAGTAAAAGACAGGACTTAACCTTTCCAGGAAAAGTTTGGCTTGTTTTCACACATACAATTTTAATCAATTATTGTGCACTGGTCTGTGATCTTTTACTCAGAATGAACTATGCCACTTCTTATCATTGTATTTTCACAATAGAATTGGATTCAGATATTATTTCTGGTAAATAAAAAGTGATATATGTTTGATGAAAGTATGCCCCTCTTATCTAGAATGTGCATTCATTTGCATGCATTTTCCATTGTGCTCGTTCAGGATGATATGCAGTAAACACGGTTGGTTGTTAAGCGATGACCTTTATGGACAAAGGTCACAGTGTGAATATAATGAGCAGCAAATCAATTTGAATATGATTTATTCATTGAGAGATGAACACAATCGACACAAACAAGTGTTTATGTTGGACTTCAGGTCCCACTGCTTCATATCTGCTTTGTTGTGTATACGGAGTGACTCATGTCGAATTGATCAATCTCATTGATTTAGAATAAACACGGAAAAACATTTGGAGACAGTCTCTTAAGTTTTATAACAGTTTATGTTTATATTGGAGGCACTTTGTGGTAATGTTTGACCACACAAATGAACGTTGTAAGCTGCTGTGCACTCTGTTAGACATTTAAAGCTCTAAGTCAGTAACATATTGTCAACAGATTCATCCAGTAGCTCTTATATGTCATCCATTACTGAATCATGAAACTTTGATCATGCACATTTGATTGAATAGACATCCAGGGAATATGCTTTGTTGCTTCTATAGACAACAATGTTAATATCATGCCTGTGTGTGATGTGTTGAGCTCCTGATGCGCCTGCAGCTTGATTAATGTTTCACACGTAGACTAAACCAAACTAACGGTGCACTTGCAATGAACCCATTGACCACACAACATTAGTTTAGTAATGCAGCATTTTCTTGCTTTCCTGGCCTGTTTGTTAGTGATGTTATAGTCACTGTTTGACTCATTGCTGTGTCAGCGATGAAAGTCCACAATGCATACTGCACGTACATGTCTGTGCTGTAAAGGAAATGTAGGAGTTATATGAGGTCATGTGTCAGTCTATTTCTGCATGGACTTGATATAGAGTAATAAGCAATGACCAAGCTCTACAATATGAAGGTTTGATCTGTGCATGTCTTGTTAGAAGGACAAATAAATAATAACACAAACTATACGATTGTGCTCTCATGCAGTCATTTTGGATCAGGGCCTAAGCCAGGACATGAGACCTTCATGTGTCTTTTTGGGGGGGGCCTGGGTTTGGTCAAAGACAGATAACAGTAATACTACATGATGAAATATACCTTTTTATCATATAATATAATATGTGCACATACATACTTAAGGCCATATTCACCACACCTCGTGATACAGCAGCTGAGGCCTACATTTCGAGATAAAAGTTGATGTGCTCCGGTTTACAGATAGTTTATTATCATTATGCAACACAGGGTTTCACAAATCAATACAGTTGCAAAACTATTTCACAGAAGAAGAGCATGATGAAACACAGGGAAACAAAAACAGTGCCAAATGCACTTTTTAGACTTTTTGTTTTTTCTCTATTGATTTGTTTGCAGGAGATAGACAGGAAAGGAAGAGCGGGAGGGGGCAACATGCAGCAATGAGTTGTGGGTCAGATTTGAACTCCTGCTGCTGCAAAGACTAAAGAGTCAGATGAGCTATCAGGGCGGCCATCATCATGCATTCAAACCGACAATTGAGTTGTTAATTAGCCTGAAAAATCACACCGACAAACAGCTACAGCTACGACCATGTTTCATAAGAGAGACAATTGGATTTAACAACCATGTCAATGATTGCACATCTTGATACATTTTAAAGCAAACATTCATCAAACTGGTAGATACAAATAGAAAAACTGCAGCTTGCGTTTTCAAACCAGATGCACTACACTGATAGGAACATCTATTCATTGTTTTTAGCTGGCCTTTTTCACCAAGAATAGCTGCTTCTCCTAAATGGAAACTCTTTTGATTGTATCCTTAAATTAGAGTCAGATTCTGGCTGAAATTAACAAAAGACTGTGCTGCCCTCTCATGGCAGTGGAGGGAAGAGTCATGTACTTATTTGGTTACCTTTGTCTTGCCTCTGGTCACTAGATTGCCAGCTTACTAAAAATCTAGGAACTTTTTCTACTTGGGGACATGGTTTATTATTTTGCATCCACCAACCAATCCAAAATCAACCAGTCCGTTTGAGAAATACAATTTTACTGAGCACCAAAGTTGCTCCAAGAAAGAGCTTGTAAGGTTTTAGCTTGTAACTTCTATCATAAATAACAAGCAGATATAATGTCAGTAATTATATTTCACTATTAGTAATTAAATACAAGGAATCCACAAGGAAATGTTATCACCTTATACAAAGACTATTTGTTTTGAATGTTACATTATTTCCTTTAGAAAGTAATTTTCTCTTGCAGAGGTTGTCTCTTTGTTCCCGTTTATGCCAGTAATAATAACTTTCAACATGAGCAACTAAATTACTCTCCCAAATTGTCAGAGGAAATCACATACATTCAATTCCTCCAACAATAGGCAAGTACATAGAAATAATTACAAAACAAATTGGTCAAAACAATTTTCAAGAAAGTTACATTTGAACGAATGAATGAGTGAAGAACAATTCAGGAAGTTACTATAGTCAATGAATAGCTAAATGGTTTCTAAGTAAGTCTGAATCAAGATTTATAGATAATGATGAGACAAACAGGCTGCGACAAATTATAGTACGTTAAAATATATTCAAACCATGGAATCGAAACAACACATATCTGATATACCCATCTAACACAATAACAATTTGTTATGATGTGTCGTTTGATTTCTGCTGAGGAAAGTGCCAAATACTGTGAGAAGAAATGCATCATTTACGTTATAAAAATACAAGGTAATGTTCCTCTTCTTAGGTGGTGACCACCAGTGGAGTAATTTCATTCCTCTTTCAATTTTGCCGAGCAGCAGGTGCAGTGGGTTGATAGTGAAACAGCTAGTGTGTCATGAGCCTTGAAAACAATATATGTTTTATTTATATTGTACTACTTTGACCAGGTCTGTTTGTGTTTGCTTTATTGGTATCTGGTCTCAGATACTCCCTGATGCCTTCTGTGAAAACCTATTAGTATTAGTAATATTTGTTGTTAAAGTGATACTGTGAGTGTTGCCTACTGAAAGGGATTTGGAGCTGGTTTTAAGGATGGGTCTCACATTTCTTATTCTTTTCAAAGGGTGGTTTGATGCAATTCTCCTGATTGACAATAGGTGGCAGTAACGTGCCAAGAAATGCAACAATGACATATAGGCAAGAAAGGAGAACAAAATGTGTGTTTAAATTATTCCAAAAAGCAGGCTCAAACAGGACGTCTGGTGATTCAGCAGAATGACATGTATCATGTTTCACAAGACGCTTCAAAGACAAAAGCACTGAATGAATCACAGCAGTGGGTGAGTTAAGGTGTGTACACATTTTACAGAGTTAGCTACTTGGTAACCTTTCTTTTAAAGTTTAATCAGGACAACAATATCCAGAAATATCAAACACAATACACATATTTTTTTCCAGAAATATCAAACACAATACACATATTTCAAAAACTGAAATACTAGTTCATAGGCACAAGGACCCAGCAGACAGAAACATGCCTCCCTCTTCCTGCCCTCTCAGTTCCTCCCTCAAACCAATGTGCTGCTGGAGGAGGGGCAGTTTCACTTCAGAATGTGTGTGTAAGTGTGTGTGTGTATGAAATACATTGAGAGCACATCACTGGTGAGTGCAGGGTGATTTGGGGGCAGAGAGAAGGATGATGGGTTGACCTTTGGAGAGCGTCTCACCTAAATAACCTGGATAACATGGAAGCCAAAAAGGTCCTCCATTTTGTGCCATCTGGTAAGTATACAGGGGTGGAGGGTTGTGAGAAGGTCTTTCATGATGAAACATGAGCCAACAGAGCCCAACACGTGGAGAAATCCTCTCTACAGACTGTGTGTGTGTGTGTGTGAGTGTGTGTGTGAGTGAGTGAGCTGATAGCATCTGGAAAAGGTGTAAAAGTTATCTATAGTGCCGGCTTTTATCGTTGTATGTACAATAATTTCTATTATCTTTTATTTGCCAGGTTCTGTGGGTGCTATTTCCTTTTTTTATGTCTTTATGGGCTCTGTTTTAAAAGCACAGAATATGAGCAAAATGCTTTTTATTGCCAGGAAAGCCAGGAAGTCAAACGGATATGGCTTAATATTTACAATGTGGCAATAAACGGCACACTTATCTGTCATAGATAGGTTTTTTACAGCTAACCTTCAATTGATTTTGGCATGTTTTAACACTGTTATAAAGCCACACTGCTGGGGTTATCATTCAGAAAAGCACATTGCATTCAGTGTGTATTAAGTTAGAAAGACTATCTTTTATGTTGCTATAGTGTCATATATTATCTTCATAGCTACACAACTCACAATGTCACTTGTATAATATAACTATTACTCTGGCTATCAAACAACTCACTAGAGCTCTAAGACAATTATTCAACACAAACATGATTGGAAACTATTTTGATTATTGTTTTAGAGTATTACAAATCTGGCCAATACTAATGGGTCTGGATTATTGTGAGGTTTTGCTTCTTTTCTTTATGTTATATAAAGTGAACTGAATATGTCTAGGTTTTGGGCTGTTGGTCGGACAAACCTAGTGGTTTTAAGTTGTAACCATGTTATTTGTTTTACTATTTTAAACTTATGATCAATTAATTGAGAATTGGCTTATTAACCAATACTGAAAAGCAATTGCAGAACTACAACAGGTATACATGTTTTTCTGTTCAGTGCCATTAATGGGTTAAAAAGTCCTACTTGAGTTGTCTCAGGTCAAGGATTAAGAAGATTATCTACCAGAAAAATGTCTAATATTCTAATCTGGCCTTTCCATTCTTGTTCAAGACATTCTCTGCTTGAAGTTGAAGATAATATGATACAATTGGATATAATAAAGAAGTTGTATCAAATCTACAGCATCCCCTTTCTTAGCTGCGGTTATCTTCAGGCTTACAAACGTTGTTCAAGTTTTACATCATCCAACAAAAAAACGGAATGTTATTAACAAGTTTTAAACACTTCAGTTTCCCAGAGGATTAATGTCACACTTTGAAGTTTACCTGAGTAGAAAGCACCTTCAGATGTGTGCTTTGGCTAGTGAAGGACAACCTGTGATTACTGTTGCTCCGGTGCTGGATAACTAACATCGGGTCGTCCTTATCGTTGAGGTGTTGAAGTGGAATGAGCTGTAGTTCCTCCTTCCTGTTATTTGCTTTATTTCAATATATGAATGTGTACATTGTGACCTACAGAGTACACACTGTTCATGGTACAGCTGCATACACTAACCGTGGTCAATTTCAGTGCTGATAAGAGTTTGGTATACTTACTGAGAGGACACAATTACAAGCTTGTCTTTATGTTTAAAAGTCAAGGGTTCAAGTAGCAGTCAATTCACAAGGAGCGCGTCCCTACTGCCTCGATGATTTGACCTTGTTCGGTTCAGCACAGATTTCTCAGCTTTGTAACTTTTGTTCCCAGAGACCCAACAAGATTCCTCTGTTTTTTCTATCGCTCAAGGACGTCCTCTCCCCACAGATAGCACTGGGACAGGGATGAATACAAAGATGCCTGAGGCTTTAAGTAAGTCCTGTTTGTCAGAAGAGAGACGGCATTGCTAGATCGGAGATCGGGTATGTCAGGAGATACAGAAACATGTTTAATTGAATATTTTTGAGAGAAAGGAATGAGCAAAAGAACTGTTGAAAACAAAGACATTCATATTTACATTCTCGGTTGCACATATTCAATCCGGGAAATATTAATACATAAACATTCAGTTTCTTAATCCTGGTGAAAATGCAGAAACAGTGTTATTATCTTGAGTATTGTGTTGTATTTTCCACATATTTTGAATTTCTGCTCGCCTCCCTCACACCTCTCTCATCTGTGTTGGTAGATCAATATAAAGAGGATGAGGAAGCAGAAGTGAATACATTAAAGGAGAGGTGTCATGCTTTTCCGGTTATTACCCGTCCCCTTGTGTGTTATGAAGGTTTTTATGCATGTAAACGGTGTGCAGAGTCAAAACCCTCAAAGTACACCCTGTAGCGAGTAAAACTCTAACACCTCCCCAAAACGCCTCCTTGGAGATACGTCATTGTCCATTTGATTCTTCCGGGACGGCATGATGTCAAGCCGTACCCGGAACGAAATGGACCAATCCGTGGAGCCGTTACGTTACGTCCGCGGAGCAGTTACGTTATTCCCCCGCTGATTGGTCCAAATTGACCAATCCACGGACTTCCTCACACACACATCTGTGTGCAGGGAGCAGGCAGCTCAGCTGATTTCTCCTCCCTGGCTGCAGGCTGATAACAGACAGTTGGGATCGCGGCGAAATTCTCTCTGCAGACCCATTCTCACAGCGTTTATCAACCTTTTTCTTACTCAATATCAAGCCACACTTATTGTTTTTACTTCGGCTGTGAGTTTGTGTGTGCTCAGGATGAGTTTGGCTGTGTTTCGCTATGTATCCTAAACAAGGAAACAACACCTCCACGGAGCTCAGCGCGATTCACAACGTCCCGACCAATCAGAGCACACTGTGCTCACAGGGAGGGTGGGGGCTGGAGCTTTGGGAGCTACAACGAGCCGTTAAAGGCAGAGAGTGAAATTCAGTGAATACAAGTAGTTTACAGAGATGCTGTATGAGAAACCAATGTGAGTTTGGAAAAATGCACAGTATAAATCTATTTTAGTATACCTCAACAATGGAATTATGATCAGTGGAAATGGCCATGACACCTCTCCTTTAATGCAGAAACATGTATTTTTCCCAACTGAGAACCAAACAAAGATCTCAGACACATTACCATTTTTTGCTAGCTATTAAAACCTAGAGTAAAGTTGGCTAGTCATCTAAAATCACATTTGATTGGAAATACAAATGTAAGCGGCACTGAGTTCAACGCTTTGTAGGAAGAGAAGAATATAAGGATACGGATATGAATACATTTACATATTTGTGAATATATGGCATAGAGTGGTGGAATGTAAATATGTACATTTAAAATGTTCAAGTACTATTTTGAGGTACTTGTACTTCAGTTCAGTATTCATATTTGATGCGACTTTTAACAATTACTCCATTACATTATGGAAGCAAATATTATACCTTTACTCCACTACATCTGAAAAAATTAGTTGCTTTATAGATTCAGACAAAGAGCTAATGACAAATATAAATAAAATATTACATAATACTAAAATTAGCTCCACAATTGCTGGCTGTTATGGAACCATTAATGCCTCAATAGTCTTGATCCATACTTATATATGATTTTGAAATGGGTTCTTACAATAAGTACTTTAACTTGCGGTACTATAAGTGTATTTTGATACCAATTCTGACTTTTGCTTAAGTAAGGTTTTAAATGCAGGATTTTTACTTTTAACCTGTAACTTCTACTTGAGTATTGGTGCTGTCACTTGAATAAAAGATCTGAGTAATTCTTGCATCACTGCTGCCAAAAACGATAAATTGAAACAGAGACACAGGATTATAACTTGGAAAGTGTCTTGTGATAGTTTCACAGACAGACTCAGCAGACTATTTAAAGGAGCAGTGTCAATGTCAAAGCTGGACCAAAGAGTTTCTCTTACACTGCGATGTCACACGAGTGCACAGTAAGAGTGTGAGGAAATCGGAAACCCACAGGCATGAGCCATCGTAACCAACAGTATTTTGTATTGAACAATCATGTTATTGTCTCCAAAAACTATCTATAGTAAACTAAATACATTCAAGTACATGTGATTATTGATGGCCATGCCTATATCCTCTAGAAGTTATTGATTTTGTTTGTTTTTTAACATAGGTGCTGGCTTTTATCATAAGCAGCTAATCACAATTTACAAAGTAATTGGACATGTTAAAGATATGTATGGTCATTGATATCTGATACTTTTATATATATTTAATTTGTTCTCTCTTTTAGGTGTAGTTTTTAGATAAGCTTGTAGTTTGGTTCTACCTAACCTGCACATGAATTTTGTTTTGATTCACTTTTCCTCAGTTTGACCTTCCTTTAAGAAAAGAATAAGACAGAAAACAGGCCTGCAGAAAGACGGTGGTACTGTGGTAGTACAAACAGGGACGGATAGATAAAGCAATCAGGGGGGAAATTCCCACGGACACAGTTTTGCTTTTAAAGCTAAAATATCATTTGTCGCCAATCTCATCGTTGCAGCAAATGAGAAAAAGAGTTACTGTTTAGTGTTAGTCAGTGTCTACTGTTGATCATGATGATAAGATGTAATGGAAAGTGTTTCCAACAAACTTGACCTTTATCTTAATGAGCCGAGACAGAAGAGGTCTCGATGAGTACATCATCGTCCTCCCTCTACACGTTCTGTGGTACAAACAGCTTGCTTTATAAGCTGAGAGGCCCCCTGTTGTCTGTGCAGGCTCCTGTGAAGTAGACGAGGCCTGGGAATGTTCTGTCTAATCTGCTTTGAGATGTATTCTTGCTGGGAGCCCCCCAGAGCCAATCTCTGCCTCAGGCGAGGAAAAGCTCATCCGTGCAGCTTCAACACAGAAACACGAGCGCCTATACAAACATCAGGCACAGCTGGTGTCAGGTTTTTGTTGTAACAGAGAGCGAAAGGGTCTCTTTTCAGTTCCTACTGCTCTGTTCCTTACATCATATCATGTGTTATGCTTCTAAAGTCTTCAAGGACAGACTGTTAGATCATTAGATAATGTTCTAACAAGTTTAGAAATATCAATCTTCGTCCAGGAAATGTGTTATCTGACGGTAAACGGTTTGTATTTATATATAGCGCTTTTCCAGTGTTTGCGACCCCCAAAGGCCTTTTATATATATATATTTCTTCATTCACACATTCATACAGAGGTGCCTTCCGCTCGGCCGCTGAGAGAAGTTGGAACGTTTTTTGTTGGTGAATGCAGCACTTTTGGTCACTTTAAGTTTATGCTACTGTTGCACAGGTCAGACGCAGCATGGCACAACTGTGTAAGTTTGAGAGTTTCACACAGTTTTATCACCCTTTGCTGGTCACTTCGTATCTGTGACAACGTGTTTCGTAAAAGGGGTTGCTCGTAATGACAGGAGGTTTTAGCACTCTGGAGCATTTAGCTCTTTCAGCTCATTGTTATGGGTTAACAAAGGTCAATTTGACTTTTTGTTCCATTATTCCCACTCTCACCAAAACCTTGTTTGCAGCCGACAGCTGTTCTTGGCTGAGGAACTTTGATAAAACTATTGTAAGCTATCTGCTCTGCAATGAACAACAAACTGATTTATCTGCACTGGTAAAGATAGTGGAGAATTTACCCGCTGAAAAGCCAGATATTTCCCCCAGGTTTTCCCTGAAAATGTAATCATAGCTAAAAGATAAATACAATTGGACCTCCTTCATTAGACGGCTGAAAACATGACTTTAATAAATGTTGGACCAAATAACGTTTGCTTTTATGAGCTATCATTTCCATAATATGGTTGCAACTTAAAAAACAATGTTGAAAGATAATATAAAACACTTTATTGTAAAAATTCAACGTGCAGTGAATAACACATTTGTCTTTCCTTCTACAGAGGATCCATCCAGCGGGAGGTCCAAGAATGGATATGTTTTCCAAGAGATGGGTGCGTAGCAGTAATATATATCTGTATTTAATCTGATTGCTTTTTTCTCAGCATGGTTCCTGCTCCTTTGTGCAAGATATGCTCTACATTATTCAGGATATGAGGCAGAATAATGTAGATTTTCACATGGAAATGTGCTAATGCTAATATTCCTCGCTGCTCACTGATGACCCATTCCTCATGCTGGTGAGCACAACGCGTGTTAGAGGTTAATTAATTAATGGGTAAATAATGAGGCAGATCATCTGTGGGTCGATGACGGGAAGCGGGAATAATCATAGCTGAAGCGTAGCTCTTGAAGGGTTAAGGTTAATTCTCCAATTCTGTAGCTGTTCCTTTCCCCCCTCATAAAAAGTGGCGATGGAGATGCCATATTTATCTTCTATACAATTAAGGAATTTATGAGCGGCTGCTATTGTTAAAGTGCTGCGTGTCTGGTGTAAGGGGAATTTTTTTATTGGGTCTCTCTCTCTCTACCGCCTGCTGTGTGCTTGTCAACAGATGGCAGAGTGGTGGGAGGAAAAAATAAATTGTCCCTTACTGGAGACACTGCTTATGTGGCTGGAGCTGCATCTTAAACTTAACAGTTTTATCTCACTGTTATGTTCAGCTATAAAATGGCCTTCATTGTTATATATCATATCATTATTATTACATTAATTTCTTATGTTTATTTGATATTTTATTGCACATGCTAAAATCTTTAGTTTGTTCTTCTTCTATGAATTTTTAAATGGAACAATTGTTACTAAAACCAATTATCTCCTGGGATTATTACATTATTTCTGGTTCTGATTTCTCAATCGTCAAGTCAATTGAAAAGTACGTCTGACACCGAATCCCTCAGTTTTGTTCAAAATAAAGTTTGTATGTAACTTTTAAACTGAGATGTATTGACTGTCACTCCTTATTTTTATATTCACAGAGCTGAAGGATGGGGAACAGAAGGATTGTGAGGATGATCTCAAAGACCACATCTATGACAGCCAGGTCCAGATCAGTGCGTCAGGTAATAATCATTTCACTATAACATGTTCAGCCTGTGGTGTGATTTGTTCTAAGATTATACATTAGAGAGAACAGAGCCATTATTTACCGATACACATTAATAAGCTGATGTAAGTGGCGCTGTCTTTCGTGACTTCTATCATCTGAGGATAATTTGCCGCCTCTGCAATTAGGGAAATCATGTGTGCTAGCGAGTCATGCACATGCGGTTGCTAGATGTATTAGTTAGTTCCAAGAATAACTTTAGAAATGTGAAAGAACCATTCGGTTGCTGGAGGCTGAGACAGTGTGTACAATGATATATTCTTTATGTGGTTTTTATTTGCAGATCCTGACTGTCCTGGCTTTGGGCTTTTGAACACAACAAGAAAAGTAAGATATGTTTTTCTTGTCACCCTCTCTGTGCCTCATCACAAACATGCATTTTGTGTAAAATACTGCAAAAAGAAACTGTATTTTACAGTTTCTATTACACTTCTCGCTTTTCAACTGTTCAATTTGAACGCTATAATCCTCATTTTCTAGTGCATGCTTCATATTTTATACTAAATAAGAACTGTAGATAGAATATTCTGCACTTTTATTATATTCTGTTTCTATTATATTCTATTTAATTAATTATTTTATCTGTGTTATTGTGTTGCACTGTTGGAGGAGCCTGTGACCTAAGATTTCCATTGTCATGACTACACTGTAGCTATGCACACATGACAATAAAAGCCTTGAGGTGAATCTGAAAGCAGTAAACTGGGAGGAAATGTGTGGATTAACTTGCCTTTGGGGGGGATATACAGTCAGCAAAAGGAACATTACACCGGTTTGCACTTTGACATTAAGCTAATTTCCCTTTGTTCTCGGCTCACACTAGTATGTGAAGCCGATGAACTTCCATGAGGAAGTACGCGCCCACAGAGACCTGGACAGCTTCCTGGCGCAGGCGAGCATCCTATTGGACGAGAAAGCTGCCACTCTGGACGAGGTCCTGAGGCGGATGTTAACTCACGTGGTGCAGGACGGCCACGGGGACTGCGATGTGGACGAGGTCATGAACTCGCTGTTCACGGACACAACAGGGGAAGAATTGAATTGTGAGCTAAATATATCATAAGCACTTTGAACGATGCTTGTAATATCAACTTGTTTTGGCAGTTCAGTTAATTGTATTATGCTCCCACAGTTCACCTCCTGTCAGAGACCCTTCAGGGTGTGATGGCTACTTCCACCGGCATTCGCTACCAGCAGTCCTGGCTTTGTATTCTGTGAGTTCTTCCACTATAATATTTTAGAGAATGTTTTTGACTCCTAGCATCAGTTCAGTAGAGTTCATTTGACTGTACAGTGACAGCAAACATAAAATCATTTCATTGGAAAAGCAATGTTCTGTTGGCTTTTTATAACCGAACTGGGGTCTAATTTACACCTGCCAATACAGAATGCTGCACAATCAATCATGTATACACCACTGATCACACGTAAATTAATTTCCCATTGATTCAGCTCCAATGTGAGGAGTCTGCAGAGACGCCATGTCTGCATCACCCGCCTGGACAGGCCACAGAACTGGGGAGCGAACTGCCGCGAGGCGCGCTACGTCATCCTCATCCTGGCCCCCCCACGGACGGTAGGGACAATTATCAGTTCTGCTATTTAATATTAATGATATAATGGAGGAAATATCAGGAATGTCCCCCTTGTAGCATCTTAAAAGTGTATAGGCGCAGGTTTTTCTAGCCTTTCATTTTAGTAACCTTGTAATCTTTGCATTTTGAACTGTTAATCAACAAGCAACTTGAACATGTCCCTTAGGTTGTGGGAAAACAACCATTTTTCATAATTTTTCTGAGGCATTTTATTGACCAATTACAGAGGAACTAATAACAATTGATTTTGTATGTGCCACCTTAATCAGGTGCATTTGGAAAAAAACAACATTTGAAGTCATTTTTGAGGTTTAGAACTGGCTGATGACCTTCGTTGTTGTTTTATCCTCACTCTTTTGTTATGTGATACAAAGTAAAAAAATGGGCCCCACTTGAAAATGTTTTCTCTCTCTGTGATATTATGAACAATTGAAACTGTGTAGAAGTTGTTGTTTAAAGCCAAATTAAAAGAATGTCTCATACCATTCTTCTCCAGAAAAGCACCAAGTCGGCCGTGGAACTCGGTAGAACATTTGCCACGATGTTCTCGGACATTTCCTTCAGACAGAAGCTTCTGGAGGCCAAGACTGAGGAGGAGTTCAAAGAGGAGCTGGTGCACCACAGAGAGCAGCTCTCCGTCGGCTCTGAGAAGCCGATCGTAACGGAAGTGGAGGACTCAGATCCACGGAGAGGGAAACCACTTGAGGTGTGAAAGAATAGCAAATAGGAGATGTAAAAGACAAACTGTTATCAGTGCAGAGTGGCCCTTTGACTGTTGTATAACTGCATAAGCACAGAGCTTATAAGCCAATATACAACGATACTTAACTCCACAAACAAAGGAGTTGTACTTGTAAAACCAACACTTATGTTCTCTACCAACTGTTAGATCTCCACATGTGGGACCCACCCGTGTGTTCTCCCTCCATCCAGGCGCATAAAGATGTGAGGCCGTAAAGTAAAGTAGTTGAGCCAGATTATCTGATTATCCTGTTTCCACACTCCATCAGCCAGGCCCGAGGAGCGAGCAGCTGGGCAACAAACTGAGAGCGCTGCCAGGTCTGCCATGGCTCTGGCAGCAGAATGTGGCTCCATGTAATGATAAAGTACTTCATTATGTCTTGTGTTTAAATTGAAAGGAAATGTTTGCGCCCAGCAGGAGGGCGGAGAAGAGGGAACACCCAGATACTGCCTAGAGAGAAAGCATGTATTTGGGTTGTAAAAGAGCAGAGTTAACAACAGGTTGTGGCTGCACTTGATGTCCTGAATGCTTTAATAACAGAATTTAAATGTAGGGTTGTTGCTGCCAAACCAACCTTTTAACCGGTTCTGCAATTACAGAGTTGCATAATACAAAAACAAGCAATGATGGACCCTTAGATGTGCCATTATGTCCAATTTTATAATGGATGCGAGTTAAATTCCTCCACAAAAATGTATTAAACATTTATTTTTATTATGCTCATTCAAAAGACCTTTTACACAACCAGCAAATTAATGAAAATTAATGTTATTCGAAAGGAATGTCCCAGTCAGAGGAATCTTTCAACATAGTCATCTGAAGCACAGGAGGTTGCTCAGGTCATCCATTCATTTCAATAGGAACACTGCGGCAGCACAGCAAGGCCAAACACATAAATGCAAATGCACCGTCCTCAGTACTAGAGGATGAACTCGAATCCCTCCTTGAGTAAAAGTAGGCTACTAATACTCCTATAAATACTCTGTTGGAAGTAAAACTCCTGCATTTGCAAAGTAAAAGTAGTTAGGTATAATCAGGAAAGATTCACAATAATTTACGACATGTCATACTTAATACATATATACTATATATATAATATGTGCTATATAAATACAATTAAAAAATATATAAAAACATGCAGAATAACGTTTTAAGAAGCGTGAAACAAGAATTAGAAATGAATGTACAATAGCTGTCAGATAATTGTCACGCTTGAGTAAATATACTTAGTGACTTTCTACTGCAAACACTAAGCCTGTTAGATTACTTTGTGTGTCTCTACTGTTTACATCGCAAATGTTTACCCAAAGTTACATCTTAATAACTTTCTAGAAAACATGTTCTGAACATATCAAAGATCACTGTGCTGCACTGTGTTTGCAACTGATACGCTTGAAACTGAGTAAACTAAAGTATTTAGTTTACACTTGTCTACATGTTTCCAATTTAGTGCCAATTTACCAACACCATTTTGAAGGATTAAGGAATATCAGAATTACAAGCCATAACACATAGTTGTGCTTTCAGTATTTTAATACTGATTTTATTCCACAACTATAAGTCTCAATAGTCCCCTTCTAGGGCTCTCTATGTAGTGAACATGAGTTACAGCATCTGAATAATTACTGGAGTGTTAAGTCTGAATGAATAAATCCTGTCTCTTTCTCCACAGTTCAAAGAATTCCTTAAATTCGGTAAAGGTGTTTTTGATGACCTCCGGCGCAGACTCCCTCTCTACCCGTCAGACTTCACAGATGGTATTAATCCTTTCTTGAAACACTGCCTTATAAGAACAAATCTATTTGACTTAATTGCCTCTGCTGCAAAATCATAAAACGTCTTATTTAAAAGCCTAACACATTGAAGATAACTTGAGGTTTCGGCTGTTATATCTTTCATAACCCTTTAAATAATCCATCAAGGAATAACTGGGAAGGACCGCTGCCTGCTGAAGTACACCACCACTGCCATCTTCCTCTACATAGCCATTCTCCTGCCTGCTATCGCCTTTGGATCATTAAATGACGAAAGCACAAGAGGAGAGATAGGTGTGCACCCCTGTCTTTATCTGCAACATTGTTTAATGTATGGCATGCAAAAGTACTTAAGTCAGTTTTCTTGACAGATGTTCAGAAGACCATTGTTGGGCAGAGCATTGGAGGAGTGATCTACTCTCTGTTCGCCGGCTCACCTCTCGTCATTCCACTGACCACTGCACCCCTGGCCATCTTCATAAGCGGTGTGTATTGTGTATTACTATTTAAAGGTCACCTATTATGCAAAATCCACTTTGTCATGTCTTTTATACATCAACATGTGTCCCCTCTGTGTAAAGAGATTCTGAAAGTTTCAGGAAAAAAGATTCTCTCACTTTTTGTCCTGATCCATTTATATAAAAACCTGTCTGAACATGAGCTGATCAGATTTTGGCCACTTTATGATGTCATAACAATTGTTTGGCTTGTGTAACCATTAGCCAATCACCAACCAAGGTACCCCCCCCCCCCCACCTTATCACCTGAATCTCCTCCTAGAGCACCATTGTGTTCTTTTTAACCAAATATCTCTCAGAGGGGCGTGGGGAGGGGCTCCTTATTTTCATCTAAAGTAACAGACAGAGAATCAGCACGTTTGAAACAGGGCTGAAACAGAGGGGATTATGGGATGCTGCAATGATCTGTTTGGTGACAACACTTCAGAGACATGTTTTGTATATATCTGAGACCTGCAATATATTGATGCAAAACAGTATAATAGGGGACCTTTCACTAATAAGAGGCTGCATCTTCTCCAATTTCTCTGGCACAAATCTGTAGCAAGTTTCAACATTGGTCAAACCATTATGTTTCCTTTCACTGTTTTCAGTCTCTCAGGGTTTATTTAGATATATTTCATTTCATTCTAGGACAAAAACTGACTCAAAATAGTATGATTAGAAAATGCATGTACCTCAGAAACCTCAAGGAGGAGCGAATTGAATATCAAAGATATGCACAACAGTACGCAGTGTATACATGTTCTTCATACTGAGACATTTGATGGATACAATGTTGGCATTTTTTAATTTATCTTCATCAGGAGTCCTGAATTTGACTATTCATTAAAGGGTTAAATGTACTGTGATCTAGACATTTCAAAGTTGTACTGTTTAGATATTTGCCTAGAGTATGTTGTAACAGATTTCAGGCCTAAGGCAAATCTGAACCAAATGTTGTTGCATTTCATACTGAACATAGACTTCGGGAACAAATGGATTAATCAGGTGGATAATATGTAGGGCTTTAACTTTGAAAAAACAACAGATAAACTCCAACAAAGTATTATAATTAACAACAAGTAGCCATTTTACCAGACAGTTGCTGTGAAAACATTATTTTTGAATATTGTGATTGACTTATTTTTGTGTCAATATGTATGTTTTTCAGTAATCAGGGGAATCTGCGATGACTACGACCTTGACTTTAAAGCTTTCTACGCCTGCATTGGTTTATGGAACAGCCTGTTCCTCATCCTCGGAGGCTTATTCAATGTCAGCCTTTTTATGAAACTGTTCAAACGGTGAGTACACAAAAACAAATATATTTCAATATGCCATATCACAGACAGAAGCTTGTCACTAACCGTGCACTGAGGTGAGGCTACAGATAGGAGAAGACGCATCTGTTATGACTTGTTTTCAGACATAATTATACATTTAGTTTAATATGCACTCTCGCTATCTGGGCTATTATTTCGCCTTGAGCGAACTGTTATGTCTGTGTTTGTATTAATAACACAAATCTGTTTAAACATGAATGATCATGCAATGCTTTTTAGAACACTTTCTTTTACATGTTTTATCTTTCAGCTCAACAGAAGAAGTCATTGCATTGTTTATTTCGATTGCTTTTGTTGGAGATGCAGTGAAAGGCACCGTTAAAAGTAAGTCAAGACAAGGTTAGACTACATTAAACATGTTTTGAATGTTTTTGCAGCAGAGCTATCTCCCCACACCGCAGGGGGGATGACTAAACGTCCCTCACATCGTTTGTTGTAGGTAATGAAGCCCAGCAAATATTCAGATCCATCACAGAGTCTTTAGAGGAAAAGCAAGCATAAAATCAAACAGGCTCCCAACCCTGTAATTTAAATATAATGTAGTCTGTCACACAGCTTCTGTTTATATCATTTTTTTTATACAAGGGTTTGCCACAAGACTGGAAATAAATGCATTAGATGTATTCTATTCTTTTAAGCCTCAGGCTGTTGTAGCTGCTAAACTGCATCAAACCGAGCAAAGCTTCAATTCAGAGCAGTGCTTTAATGCCTGTAAATATACTTATAATGAATACATAGAAGGTACATAATATCAATAAGGTAGTAGAATATCTTATAGACACTATCTAGCCGAGATCTAAGGACTTCTTAAATGTGTCAGTTTCTAAGTACAGTTTTATTTTGTACAGCAGCATGTTCCTGCCATCATGGCAAAACATGTTTTTCATAACAACAAGGAACTTCTTAATTGTTTACAAGATCCCAAATAACAAACTGAATAATATCAATTTGACAGGGAACATGTTCTTGTAGTAACACCTGCACCTTACAGTGTACTTTTGTTGTTAAAACACACTTGATACATAAAATTACATTAAAAAGATCTGGTAAAAACAAGAGCAAGGCTGGTAGCAATCCCTTTACGTTAACATCGGAATCATTTTTTAACAAGAAGCAACATTTAAATTCATGTGAAATGGTTTCTCTAAAAATCAGAAAGGTGACCCTCTATAACAAGAAGCTTGCCCTCTCTCTTCTTCCCCTTCACTAGTTTTTAACCACTTCTACCATGCACCCACACTGGCGAGCACAAACACCACGTTCGTGCTCCAGCAGATCACTGAGATTCTAGAGAAGGCCAACAACCAGACGGGGAACATGCTGGTGTCTCCTAATGGGACCTTGTCGCCGATGGGACACGCAGAGGAGCATGTCTTCCTGCCCGAGTCTCTAGTGCTGACCACCAGAGAGAGACCCGTCCTCTGTCTGCTGCTCATGCTGGGCACTCTGTGGCTGGGATACGCCCTCTACCTCGTCAAGAGGAGGTACGCTCCCTTTCTGAACTGCTTATTCAATTTATCTAGACATGTATACTGCAAGAAGTGCGACAATAACTTGAACAACATCCTACAATACCACAAAGTAAAATTGCCTCGTTTTTTAAATATTAGTTCAAGTAAAGACTTAAACATTATAAGCATCTAGTGACGTGACTGTCTTTCAGTCTTTACGTATGCGGCTCAAAGCCACATCATATGTATGGTGGAGATACTAACGTTTATAAAGATACCAAAATGTAATGCTGGGTAAATGTGTTTTAATGCAATGCAATGAAAAACAAATAGAGAACATACTGTATGTGATATTGTTGTCAGCATGACAGTTCTGTTGGGCAGGTAACACAATAAGCCTTTCCCTTTGAAATGTGGAGTAAGCATTGGTGTTAAGTATATTCACTCTAGTACTGTACTTACGTAACATGATGAGGTACTTTTTCGGCTACTTTATAATGACTTTTCTTCACCTTTAAGAAGAAAACGTGTGCTTTGTACCCCACTGCATGTATCTTACAGCTGAAGTAACTTCTTAATACTTAATATATTACTCATTAATTTAATTAGATGAAGAAAGCACTGTTTTAAATGCAGTTCTTACATACTGTATGTACTGAAGTATATTTTACATTGTTGTTTTGCTAGTTTTATATAAATAAAGGATCACAACTTTAAATATGAAGGGACATAAATGAAAGTAATTGTACTTGTGTATAGCCCTTAGGTCCATGTTATTAGTGACTTTCTACCTCTGTGAACAGTAGTTGCATATATGTCCTCCTCACATAACTGGTAAGAAGTTGGTGGAAAGATGTGAAAAAGATGGAAGATTTCCCAGGAGTCAGGCAGGATGTATCAAATTATCCGCAACGATTTCCACCCTTCGGGTGTAGTAATGTAATACATGAGGTAGATAAATGTATGTATTTCAATGTCTCCTAGGATATCTCACAAACTTTTTACCACCCGATATGAATTATTTTGAGCTAAGAGAGTAACTAGTGTCATCACTGTAGTAAAACTTGTAGAATTGATTACATAATGCACAATGTTGAAATATCTTCTTCTATCTATCTCCCACAGTCCGTATCTGAATGGCAGAGTCAGAGAGGTGGTGTCTGACTGCGCTCTGCCTATCTCTGTGGTGGTGTGCTCCTTTATTGGCTCCTACCTTTTCCTCGACATACAGCGTGAGTAAAGATCTCTCATATAAAAGAACTGATTGAAGAGTACCCTCGAGACTTAAAGTCACAACCTTGGCACAGAACACATTTCACTGTTCATAAATCCTCGGTTGGAGGTAGAGAAAAGGATGTATTTGCTTTCAGGGAGCTTTCAACTCAGCGTGGCTCCTGAATCAATGTGGGTTAAAGACGCGGGGTTGAACGTTGCTTATAACACAAGCAGAAAAGTTAAATATGAAGACATTTCTTTATATAATGTTATCATCTTTTCCCTTGCAAGTGTGATGTCTCTGCTTGAGATGTGTATACTCAATGTTATGCTCTCTGTGCTATTAGTTCCTAAGTTCAATGTCCACGATGGCCCCGTCTTCAACTTCCCTCATTTTGATAAGCTGTCAGGACTGAATACACTGAGCGCGGTCGGGCTGGGTTTCCTCCTCGCTTTGCTCATCTTCATCGACCAGAACATCGTCATCTCACTCACACATGTGCCTGAACACAAGTAAGACTTCGATTTTAGGTGTACTTGCCAAACCAAGGCTATAAATGTAACATTACTCTAGTTTTTAAAGTGTCCAAATCTCATAGACGCTCTACTGCTCCTCTGCTCCTCTGCCATCTACAGTATACAGAGGTTATATTGTTCTGCTGCTGTGTTGCATTGACAAACCACTTGACACCTGTGTGTTACCAGGTTGCTAAAAGGCACGGCGTTCCACTGGGACTTGGTGCTGACGGGCTGCATCAACATCCTCATGTCCTGTTTGGGGTTGCCGTGGATGCACGCTGCCTTCCCACATTCCTCCCTGCACGCCCGTCAGCTGGCCAAAACAGAACAGCACGTAGAGAACGGACACGTCTACACAACGTGAGTAAAGTTCAAATGAAGAAGAAACCAGAGTGGGGCTTTCAAAGATTGAAAACACCAGCGGATCTTAACCCTTTTATCCGAGTGTTTGGAGGCTTTGTAACAATGTTGTTGATTTGCATACTGACAATAATATCTTCATTGTCACTTAGTGAAGTGGAGATACTCTATTTTGAAAAAAACTGATCTATTTATCTAATTCTGAGTTTTTGGGTCAAATATATCTAAATAAAAAACATTATTTTGTATATATATTATTTTAAAAGTACATTTTATTTTAAATATATAAATATTGATCCTGATTTGAACATTATTTTAGTCATATACTGCAAGTATATTGGATAGTTTTTGATATTTCCATTTCCCTTGAAGATTTCTGAGGTAAATAATTTTCTTTAAAGGGGACCTATCATGCAAAATGCACGTCTTTTATACATGAATATGTGTCCCCGGTGTTCCAGGGAACTCACCAAGTGTCAGAAAACACAACCCTCTCTATTTTCCTACATACCCAAATCTCTAAAAAAGGGGCTGCAACGGATCTGATAAAAACTGATCCAGATTTGAACACTGTCCTGACGTCAGGACAGTGGCGCTACGGCTATTGGGCCAACTCCACCAATCAGGAGGAGACAGCCACGGCCATTGCCGTTCGAAAGCGCTGGAGACGCTGTAGTACATATGCCAGGCCAGTAGATGGTGCTGTTCTCACAGAATCAGCCCTTGCAAAAACAGAGCTAAACATTTTCAAATTGAGCGAAATGAGGCATGGCTAAAATGCATGATCTGTTTGGTATTTTGAAAAAAAAAAAGTATAAATATGCCTTATATAGGTATGGTCCTACACTATATTATTCAAATATAGCATGATAGGTCCACTTTAAGCTGAGATGATAAAAGGGATAAGAAAGTAAAACTAGGACTTCCTTACTATTAATCTTAATATACTCATTTGTTCATGTTGTTAAGGGCCCCCTAAAGGAAGAACACTCTTTGATTGACAATCATGTCTTCCACATAGATGTAAATTATTGTACTTATGTCTTTCTCTCATCAGATAAGAAGTGTTTATCTGGATATTTAAAGTATTTCTCTGGCTTTGTGTCCAACAGTATAGTGAGTGTGAAGGAGACTCGTCTGACCTCGCTGGTAGCCAACATCCTGATCGGCCTGTCTGCCTTCATGCTGCCCATCCCTCTGCAGTGGATCCCCAAGCCCGTCCTCTACGGCCTCTTCCTCTACATTGCAGCCACGTCGCTTGATGGGAACCAGATGGTGGACCGCATGGCCCTGCTGCTAAAGGAACAGGTGAGCAGCAAGGACACTGTGGTGTGATTGGTTGATCTCTTTTTTTCCCTGTTTATCCATTAAACTTCACATGGTGTCTGCTCCAAACGGCCCTCAATGGTAGATGTTTAATTAAGGGCGAAGGTTATACGCCAACTTTGCTGCTACCTTGACATATAAGAATCCTGCTCAGTGTCATGGTTATACCCCTAAGCAAGAACAAAAATAACTATTTTTGTTATAATATGACTGGTAGCTATGTCATAATTACAAGACACCTATGCATAACAGTTGGTGAACAACATACAATCCTATCGTGTTATAAAAACAAGACGCTTCTATTAACAGTTCTGTATTTCCTTATCAAGATAAAGATTGGTTATATGAAGACACATGTTGAGTTTGTGAAATTATTAAAACGTTTAATTATAAAACAAGATCAGGGGATATCTTGTTAAAACATTTCTCATAGAAACATGATTTGATAATAATAAAATACCTTATTATAAAATGTTCCCACCAGATGTTTCATTCATCCTGCAAAGAACATATTACCCAACTTTAATGGACTTGAAAGTAAACTACTTTTACTTTAGGAAACTAAATGTAATGCAACATGTCATCTAAAAGCATTGTAACCACATGTTACTCACTTTTCTTTGTCCAGACCTCCTATCCACCCACACACTACATTCGCCGCGTGCCTCAGAAGAAGGTCCACTACTTTACGGCGCTGCAGATGCTCCAGCTGATCATCCTGTGTGCGTTCGGGATGTATCCTCTGCCCTACATGAAGATGGTCTTCCCCCTCCTGATGATTCTGCTGGTCCCTGTCAGGTAAGAAGAGCCAGGCCAACAGGGGGCAGAGCGGCACCGTGGAAACCAACACACTGCTGCAATGTCTGCATAGAGTTGACATTATATTGGCTAAGATTCGTTCTTCATATGAAGTTCAGTTTACTTCTGGAAACAGGTAGATGAAGTGCTGTGGCTCTGGGGGGGACTTTCTGAAATATGAGGAAATAACCGAGTGATATCATTTTAGCTTGATCTTTAAAACCAAACCACAAAGTTATAAAAACTCAGGATGAGGAGTAAGGCTGAACAACGTGTAATTATTTAACATATAAAGCTTGTATTGAGATGTTGGATTGAATGCTCAAATGGCTGTTATATTATTATAATGTAGATTTTATGACATCATCATCCTAAGAAACAAGTCTTTGAACAAAATCCTCAATTTGGATAATGCAAAGTCATCAGAGTATATGCACTAGTCTTTTTTATAATGTCAACTTACTTTAAACTTCAGTTCATCCTTGTATGCTCCTCTTTGTGTGTAGGAGAGCAAACCGTTTTAAACTCCTTTCCATGGTTTGAATTTGAGAAATGATTACATTTATATTTTATTACTTTATTGAATTTTGCACTTTGAAATACAATAACGTTGTTGGAAATGATTTGATCAAGCTAGTCGGAAACAGTCCTTTCCAACAAGCGTTCACTGAAATCTAATTCAACATCAAAACAATTACTTCTTATAGAATATAACTAAAGCCTAATCTTTATCTGCAACTGTGCAGAGAGACCATAGTGAATGGAGATGAAAGAAAAAGAAGCTGCGCAGCATTTGAATATGGATTTAACATTTGAGTTTCAGCGTTTGAAAGATAGCATACAGCTTTGAACTTTTTTGTATTGCCCTATATGAAGTTTTAAACAACGTTTGTAAAGCATTTTGTGTCTGTGTATGAAGGATTAATACATTAAGAAACCTTTTCCATACTAGCATGCACGTAACTGCACAACATCATCTGGTATCTCTTTGTGTTTTATTTCAGGACCACCCTTCTACCCCGAGTCATCGAAGCCAAGTATCTGGATATCATGGACGCCCAGTACATATAGATGGACAGAGCGCACCTTATGGAAAGATTCACTTCTTCCTGTTGGGAGGGACACAGACTCAGAACTCAATGACTGTGTCAACAACTAAACAAAATGCATTCGGACTGCAAGATGTGGATGTGAGCACTCTCTCGTGACCGGACGACATTTACATCCCTCAGAAGCTTTCTCATTGTTCATCACACATTCTCCATCGATGTAGCTGCCATTTTAATATCCAACATTCCTGCATCTTTATTGTATTTACCAGTGTTGAATGAGTGTCTTCTGTTTCGCTTATTCTTTACACACACACACACACACACACACACACACACACACACACACACACACACACACACACACACACACACACACACACACACACACACACACACACACACACACACACACACACACACACACACACACACACACACACACACACACACACACACACACACACACACACACACACACACACACACACACACACACACACACACACACACACACACACACACACACACACACACACACACACACACACACACCCTTAGCTGGTAACTTGACTGAAATGGTTGTAATGTTTAAAAAACATGTTAATAATTTCAAATAATTTTGGCATCATGTGTTTGATAGAGAGCTGCTTGGTGTGTAAAGTGCAATGTGGATGAGGGGATTACAGTATTTTGCCACTGTGGAATATACATGATCATTTCAAGAAACAGTTGATAACATGTGGAGTGAAGTGTCACCACAACTTGACAAAGTGTGTCAACCACACCGATGTTGAACATATATATTCTAGTTGTTTAGCCGTGAATAACTGCTATGTTCAGAGACACATGACATGATAAAGTATGTTTGTATAAAAAATATGTTCTGTGCACTGTAATGTTTGGATTAAATCAAACTGTTGTTACACAAATAAAGCCCCTTTAAGGAACTAAATGCAAATGTTTCATTGTACTGATTGTCCTCAATATACAATTAAATGTGCCATCAGTCAATACAGCAGGTAACAGGAAAGCCCCTTCTTAAATACCGTCACACACAGCACAACGCCAGCCTCACGAGGGGAATGACAGCTGTGAAGCTCTTCTGCTTAGTGTCTCCAATAGATGGCAGTAGATGCTCGTCTTCAGCAGGGTTTGGGATCAGACTTGGCTGACATACAGAACAGAAAAAATGAGGCAGATTTATATCATCCAGCACAATAAGCTGGGATAATTCTGTGGGCAGAAAGCTTGAACAGTTTCAACAAAATGTACAACCGTAAGATATTTTCTTCTAAAATTTGTTTCATCTGTAACTTTCTGTAAAGCCACATATTAAAGCCACAAACCACCTGATGCTTTCATTTTAAATGTATTTTACTGCTATAGTATTCCTCCACAAGTGCATCAACAATGTTTGCCTTGGATGTATGTAGCGGGTGCCTTGCACATATTGCAGGAACAGAAACACCAAACTGTTAGTTTGAGCTTTTGAGACAAACAAAAGGAAGCTCTGTTTCACATTTGGCTACAAAGACAATTATCTTCTGTGTCTAAATGTGGCTGAGGCATGAATCCGGCAGAAGAAAGGTTTGTTATTGACATTCAGAAAATGTGAAATAAAATTGTAAAAGGAAAATCGACTGTCTGTTTGAATAGCTGAAAGGCACCGCTTGAATGTCGTCTAATAGCCAATATCAAACCTGTTCTTTGTTTACAATAACAAGAAAATCACTGCTATGATAAAACGTGTACCTTAGCATTTATTTCATATTTATTTATTGTACAAAATCCAAAAGAGGCCACGAAGGAAGCCAGGAGAGTTTTGAGGTTGAGAGGTGACCCTGGTGACCTTCCTGTAAAGCCCTTTAGTCCGGGTCTGCGAGTTCACTGAGCCAACCGGGGGCCGGAGTAGAAAAATACAACCAATGCCGTGAGTCCGCTGAGATTGGCTCTCTGATGGGACTTTAGCTGAATCCCATGGGTAAAAATATATCCATCTCCTGATCACCATAGAGATGCAGCCAATTATTTGCCATCACAAAAACCTGCATATTTATCTCTCTGCAACCTACACAAAACACCCCCTCATGATCTGAGATGTGCGGTGGATAATTTGGGCTCTTGTCTTAGCAGGTAGAGCCCCACATCTCCATTAGTGTTGTGCGTCTTCTAGAGTTTCCTCCGTGTACCTGTGTGGCCTGTCATCTCTCCCTCTTCTCAGAAGCGTCTCCGGCAGAGTTTATGTGCTCTTGATGCCCTGGAAGCCGCAGAAGCTCCAGCGTTTCTCCAGACTCGCTCCGACTCCGCTCAGCTCCTGCCTGAAGGTGCCGGGCAGCCGAGAGAGAAGAGCCTCCACCTCACTGGTGTTGATCTGCGGACACATGTCAGACAGGCAGAGACTTGAATGCCACACACAATTACTTTCTCTCGCCTCTGCTCTTCATGTTCACAATGCTCACACTTAATTCTCACATCTTCTCTTAAACCATATGAAAAGGGCAAGCATCAAGACCATGATATGAGCTAAATGACAGGAGCTCCGCTGGTTCACACCAACCGTGTGGACTGAGGGGCACCAAAAAGGCGAAGGTGACAGGAGAGACAGAAATCTACTTTACAAGCTGCTGCGGACCACCCACACAGCCATGTATTAAAAAGCTATGTTGTTTGAGCCGTGTACCGATGTCAGGATGCATTAAGGTCCATCATGGAGATAGGACTCCTGTATCATTACAGACATGGAGCTGTGTGAGTGTGGAGCCGGTAGATAAGCACAGAAGCGGGGTTGTTGTTGGGGAGTCCAGCCAGCACTATTGACAAAACTCTGTGGGCTGCTTGTTGTGCAGACTCAGTGTCAAAAAGGAGATATACAGGCAAACAGCCTCACACAGACTTTAAAGAGGACATATAATGCTCATTTTCCGGTTCATATATGAATGTTGTGCCTCTAATGTGACATGTTTCCATGCTTTAATGTTGTAAAAAAGGTATTTATTTTTATAAGCATAATAGGGCCCCTTTGACAACATCACGCAACACAATCATGAATAAAGCATGCCCACCAAACCCACACCTACACAACATGTATATTTTTGTATTAGGTTTAGAGTAATGGTTTGAGCATTTTGGAAATACCAAGCTTCCTTCTTTTTTTTAATAAGCAAAGATGTTTTTGTTTGCCAAATATGTGTGTTTTGTAGTTCCATTAAGAGGATTACTAGTTGTTCAAAGAATGATTTGGCAAGAAACACAGGGATATTCTGAACAAAATATAATAATTGGGGCCACTTAATTGTTTGCAGAGAGTCTGATGAGAAGATTGATACTACTTATGCCTGTAAGATACAAATCAAGCATTAAGACTGGAAACAGCTTGCCTTGCTTTGACAACAACCTGACTATCATAAACTTCACAGCTCTGTAATTATAACATTACATCCCTTTTGATTAAGCTGTACACAAAGTGAGTGAAAAATAGAGTTGAACTGATTTGTAAATTGTATCACTTTTCGAAATAAGCATGTTATCCTAAATGTTGAACTATAATTTAACATTTACATGGTGTGCTTCTTGTATACTTGTTTAAGAATGAGTTTCAATGTTTCTAGAATATATATATTAAAGATCTGTAACTCAAGTAACGATCACCCACATTTTAATATTCATTTAAAGGTAGGGTAGGTAAGAATGGAGAAACCAGATCGAGTGCGCTAGAATTTGAAAGTACACAACTGGAAAAAATCTGCCCCTTCCTTCAGACTTCCTTACAGAGCCCCTCCTCCAACACACACGAACGCGCACATGACCTACGGCTTCCACAGATGACATTTTGTTTATGTATTTATTGTCAAAGCGTTTAATATATTCATTGCTATCGGGATGTTAAGAGCATTCCATGGAATATAACAAAAAGTGTTTCGGAAGTGAATTACATACCCCACCTTTAAGTGCTGAAATGAAGTCAAAACATGGTTGATAAGTGAATAAAGAGTCAACTGTAGCATGCTGAAATTAGCTTTTGATTCTCCTTGCTGGTTGAATGTTCACATGTGTTGCGTGACATCACTGTCTATAACATAATGTTTTTAACCAGCAATCAAGTAATCCATCAATCAGAAATACGCAACATAATATTGATGGGCATTTCTTAACTGTTTTTCTGACAATCCGAGTCTACATTTAAAAAAATGTATACAATAGAAAACGTATAATATAATGACTTCCAGTCCTACAACACCCTAAAACAGACTGATGCTGAGTAAACCAGTTTAATCCCTGTCATGTATTATCAATTTGTTTGTAAATAATTCAGGAGGGCAGGACACCCTAAAACATATCCAACTGAATGACACTGACTGTCATTAATATGACTTTGTTTTACGAGTTCATTGTTAGAAACCATTATTAGTTAATGATAGGACATTTAGTAATTAAGAACGGTCTTATAGGGATGATGAGAACAAGGCTGAGTTATTTTCCAGGAATCAGCTCAAACACGCCGCCTTGTTCCCAGAAATCAGGCTGACTAACAGCCTAAACTGGCAGAGGCAAGCAGAGGCAGGCAGCAGCAGGCGGACGCAGAACATGAATATATTCATCAATAAGTCGTGCAACTGGGGATGTGTGATAAAATTATAAAGTGATAACGGCAACACGACAGAAGCAATGAGGCTCGAACAGAGCAAAGAAAATATCGCTTCACTGTATATTGAGGCTGCTGCTATTAACCCTCTGAGACCCACAGGATCGATGGGAGCCTCGGCAGACCTCACTGTTTTAAAGCAAGCTCACTTTTAAATTGGAGTGAATAAAATATTGTCATATTAAAGTGAGAATCTATTGCTACCAATAATATCATGCTAGCTGGCAATAATTCTGCAAAGTAAGGCTACATTCAGCAAGGGAAGAACTGGTGTGGTACATTCACAGTGGTCACTTGACATCAAAATATCAGAATGAAAATGGGTTTTTATGCTTATCCCATGCACTTTGGGACAAAAGCATGCAGTGTTTTGCATGCAGTAGAAAAGTATTATTTTCGCATATAAAAAAATTGTGTTTCTTAACATTTCTGCATGATCTTTGGACTCGAAAGTGGAAAAAAGAGGGAAGACTCTTGTGGATGCAATGAGCCTTATCACATTCATGTGTGATGATGCTAATCCCCATAGTAGCCATTTCCTTGTAGTGAGATCATTTTATGGATCTTGTCCACTGAATAAAATGACCTGTTGGGATCTTTAGGTTATTCATAGCCTCATCAAAACGTTACAATTAAAAACAACACGAGCATTCAGTAGATTTTATAAGAATATTGACAATAAGGGCTTTTTGAGCAGAACACAAGCGCTCAACATCCAGAAGTTAAAATATCAATTCTTACAGAAATCCTCACTTTCTAATTCCAAATCACAGCATGGCTTTTTCTATGGTGTTCTCAAGGTCTTTGTTTCTTAATGTGGTATTTTGGAAGGATTTTTGACCATTTATTTTAATTCTTGAATTGATTTGTATCACGCAAAGAAAGCCATGGACTTTTAAGCTATTCCCATCATTTTCCTGTGGATTTCAGATAGGTACAAGTACACCCGTGGAACATTATTGAAGCATTATTCCACACGGCAAAGCTTATCTGGTTAAAACGATAACAAGTAATTGATTATGTGAAGATTAACTACTTCTAAAACCTACGTACACCTTCGATATTCAGCCTATTTGTTTAAACACTGTACAGCCCCGGTAAGTACAGGTATATGAGTGTGAAGCAGTGAAGCTTTAAATTGATGTTCCTGTTCACCAAGCTCTGTCGAGATAAATGAAGGCTGAAAAAACCCTCAGAGTAACTGATGTCTTTTCCTTGACTCCGGGCTTGTTTGCATGCCAGGAGACTAAAATGGCACAGCAGGGCCCTGGCATACAGCAGGCCATATGTCAGCCCTGCAGGGGAATTTAATCTGTGTCACTATGTCTAGGGTATGAATGTGTGTGACCGTGTGTGTGTTACCTTGGTGTCTAAGCGCTGCAGGTAGGAACAGATGTACTCCATACTGGCTCCAAACGGGTGGACGTTCAGGAAGGTTGAAATGATCCCTGAGGTTACACAAATAGGGAAGGCACACATGTTAATTAAACTGTCAAAATGCAAACACATACCTTGTCACAAAGCCCCCGCCTTTCAGTTTCTGTCGCCTGTCAAACATGGCTTCAAACCACTGCAGAATAATCAAGAAATCAGTTTGTATTATTCTTCTGACTGAATTACAAGCGGGGATGATCGAGTCGCTTTTGTCAGACTCACTGTTGAGAGCCTCTTGTATATCACGGCTCCAGATTAGAGTGTTCGATGGCAGCTTTGATGCCGTTATCTTTCATCAAAGCTGTCTGATTCTGAAACTCTCCACAAACTGAACAAATCATCTGCTCAACGACTCTCTGATGATGACCAGGGGAGAGAAATCCTGCACCTTGACTTGTCGTTTGAGCATCACGAGATGAACAGAAGACACCAAATCGACAGCTGAGATTAGGGTGGGGCTTCTCGAGATGATCTTACCTCAATGTGTGTCTTCATGTTTACCGGCAAAACATGCAAGATCTGACTATACAGAGCAACAAGACGAACATATGGGATAGTTCATGATTGCTTGGAACGTGTGACTTTATTTGACAAAATCGAATGAATGTTAAAAGATGGAGATGACAGGTTAGCAATCGTGCATTTTGATGACCTACTTATCATATACTGTCGTTAGTTTGAACTGTGACAGCACAAATCCCATCACATGTAGTTAACGACAGCTACTGCAAACATTGTCTAGAATATTGTATAAAGTCATATAAACATAATGTAGCTTTTAGCTGAACCATTTAGTTTCCCCATGTCCTGCTTTTTGAATTGTTTTCCCACTTTGTGGTCAATGAGTGAAGTCCTCAATTCTTTTTCTTAGACTTTAAAGTTTGATTTTTCATTTGATGATACATTTTTTCAGGCATCTTACATGAATTACAATTCAAGGGAAATGTCCTACTACCTTGTAGTGTAAAAGGGATTTAAAGGTACATTTAGACTATATTATGTTATTGAATAGTCTTTTAATACTTTGAATATTTGATTTTGGTTTTTGGTCGTAGCAAAAATTCTTATGTTAGGGTTAAACTGGAATAATTTTGACTCTTGACCTCAGTATTTCTAATAACATCCCTTAGTAAAATCCTGTAACTGTGTACAAACAAGGGCCACATCTAGCAATAGGAAGAAAAAGAGAAATACATGAACAGGATATAACAGACGATAGTAATGGTGTTTTCAGAAGCACAATAAGAGTTTGATTCTTTTTGAACATCTTGTCCTGAAAAAGCCTTTCCAGCTTAACAATACAAACGAAAAACGCTTTCATCTTGTGTATTTTTGCCTCTCAGTTTTCCAGAAGAAAACAGTTCAAAGATAACACAACTGTGTTCATCTACATTCCCTGTGTGCAGGAAAAGAAAAGGCAAAGAGATTCAACCCTTTGTTTCCTGATGAAACGTTTTCCTCCTGGAGCCGAGAGTCCCTTTTTTCCCCTGCGGTGCTCACTTCAACTCAGCATCAAACGAGACGTCAAGAGGAGTGATTCTGACATGAGAAGGTGTCGGGAACTTTAACTGTGGCCCGCCTCCGCCTCAGTAAACATCAAGAGTGGGCATGAACAGAGGACAAGCACCATTGACTACCTAACTACCTGCGATGAGACAGAACATGTTTCTGGAGGAAGATGCTAAAACTGGACCCAGATGGACCAATGCAGAAGGGTATATCATTTGGTAAAGCACAATTTGCATTTCCTTTTTTCTCCCAATCAAAAAGGAGCAAGTTTTATCTTTCATGCTTTGAGCCAACGGATGTCTCTGACAATTAACATGTGAAAATGCAGCGTGCCGGAAAAACAAGCAGCAAAATAGGACGAGGCTTTGTTTACTTCTATAAATAATGTAGTTCATTACACACAAGGGAGATAGATGTTTGCCATATTTCCCATCATCATGAAGTCACATTGTGTTATGTAATCTAATGATTAAAATGGGCTCTTTCTCTCTTCATATCTTCCTTCTCTCATGCTCTAATTTCTATGTAATTATGCGTAGTTATTACGTCGAAGTGACTGAAGCAGATCGGAGAAACAAACTGCTGCAGAAGTGGCATTGGTAGTGCCCGTTGTGGTTATTTTACACAAAGGGGTGACAATAAGTACAATGCAATACATTCAAATCAAATCAAATTCATCAGCTGTGTAGTGCGTACTCCCTTTGTGAAACTAATGATGTAACATATCTGTTGAGAGCATTGTGGTATTGATTTCTTTATATTGAAAGGTGTCATTTCGTGAACTTCCTGTTAGTGTTGTAGTGGAACAAAGGCCTGCTGAAGATTGTGTGAAGCTCAGATCTCAACCCTACAAAAAACAACAAGTTAAGAATATCAGAGCACCATCACTGTACAGGACATTAAAGCATAATAAGTATGATAAGACATAACATCAGTTTGCTAACATGCTAATGATTAGCAGAATAGTTTAGCTTGTTAGAATTGTAAAATGTTCTAATTAATGAACAGCTGGGGCTTATGGGAGTTATGTAGTTATTTGGTTAAAAAACAAGAGTTAGAATAAGTAAAATGTATGACCTGACAAAAACTCACCAAAGGGAATTTGCATTATCACTCTGGGCTCTATGAATATCTATTTCACACTCCATGGTAATCCGTGTGATATTGAGATGTTTGACTGAGTGACTGAGTGACGTCCCTAGAGACGAACTGCTAACACGGCTAAAAGCGTTGCTTGCACTTGGAGCAAAACACAACATAACATAACAACAAAGATGTTGGTACACTAAGGCACCTGCAACGAGTGAATAAAAGATACAAACTGTTGGGATGTTAATAACCTCACTCCTATACTGTAGGCTACCTGAGAGTCATTTAGGTCACTACGCATTGTTCTGCACCTTTCTTGTAATTTTGTACTTCATTGTTTGGCTTTATTGTGAAAATGTGGTCAAAGAGACACATTTCCACCAGAGTAAAAAGCATATTGCTGATTTGATAATGTAGGAATGAGATGGAGATACAGTAAGGCAGCATACCGATGAGAAGTGCGTCCCTCTCAGAGTTTACAGGACTGAGTGGATTCTTCTCTGGAAGAGCTTCCTTGTCCTGACTGCACGACACCACTGATGATGCCGTTACATCCTGAGGAAAGACAGAGATCACAAAACACTCTTCATCTTAAAACCTCCCTTAAACACTGATGCTACGAACAAATCTAACCAGGGCTCTGGGTAGTAACAGTCTTACTTATTTTAGAGTGTTTAACAAGCATGGGAAAAGTTTTGCACTACAAGCAAATGCAAAAATAGAAACTAAACACTAACTAATCCACATAAGAAGAAAAACATCACAATGAGAACAAGATGAAGAAGTGAAAGAATGATGCCAGCGGATGAAGTTAAACCAAAGGGCAAAACAAAACAGAAGGAGAGGAAGTGTTAACGATGCTGCTAATGATCAAGCTGGTGTTCACTGTGTGTCTGAGATACACAGACGTAAAGATGGAAAATACATTTGCATGTTTGTTTGTGTGTGGCTGTAAAAGACATTCATTTGCATCTTATTTGAGTGAAATGTCTGATAGCAGAGTGACATCAGGATGCATTGGCCTTGTCTTCAGGTTTTGATCTGATTTGAAAGTGCAATTATGTATTTATGTGTGCATATTCACTCTATATGTTCAATGTAGGCTGGATCTTTTGATTTTCTAACCCAGTTTTGTTCGGGTCATTCAGTCAGTGACAAGTGCCGCCCCTATGAAGATGTTCCTGTAATGGTGCCGCGTCAGTGGATGGAGGGGAGGAGAGGAGGAGAAATATGTAAAAATAAAAGGGAATGACAAATATTTTGAGTAAAGTAGTGAAAGCTCAAGGATCTTGCACTTACACTGACTTGATTAGCACTCTGTTCGCTCCCTCTGTCATCTTGGTTCAACGTCTCCGGCTAGAGTCAATTAGAAAAATGAGAGGAAACGTCAACGAGAAACAAGTCACCCACTAATGCAATCAGACACACACACACACACACACACACACACACACACACACACACACACACACACACACACACACACACACACACACACACACACACACACACACACACACACACACACACACACACACACACACACACACACACACACACACACACACACACACACACACACACACACACACACACACACACACACACACACACACACACACACACACACACACACACACACACACACACACACACACACACACACACACACACACACACACACACACACACACACACACACACACACACACACGCCTTGTTGCAGAGGGGCTTTCTGAGGTGAGGTTTTGGAGATTAAATCAGATGAAGCAGCGTCAAACGGTTAAAATTAGTGTATGTACACCTGCAAGAATAGAACCCTAAAATAATTGGACCCTTTGAGGTTTAGTGCTGCTTTGAAACTAGCTGATTTGTAGAATCAAAGTTGCATCTGCAGCACAGTAACAATTGTATTCAAACAATACCTTATAAATACATATGAAAAGAGACACGTTGTTTAAGATGACATGATGACATACTGTTTAAAATGATTAAAGTCTCTTTCATGGCGGAAGGCGTTGAAAACATGAAAGCAGTGCTGACAGGTGTGTGATGAGAGATGACATCTTGAGAGTGGATTTAGGAGACTATGGGACAGATATGGTAACTGCATTATTAGGCAGATACCCAGTATTAGGACATAATGCAGCTCTGACAGCTATGATCCAGCGTGAATGCACACAATGAATGAATGTGTAATCTACCATCCAACGCAAACACAGCTGAACTGTCAGTGTGTGAGAGCAGCGGAGGCCTTACACAATGTCTTAGTGTATATATGTTAATGTATTCTCCACCTACTGTATGCCAAGAGGGACATTTTTTAATTATATTATCCTCCACCAGATAGAATAATATAAGCAAGAGTTTTCAGTGAATAAACCTACAAATCTAAATAAAAACTGGCATCCTTTATTACATCCATGCCAATCCTTTTGTATTGTTCTTTATTGCATTCTTATACTTATGCTGCTTCAACCAATTTCATTTTCCTACAGTGTATGATATGCAGAAATGTTCCTACATTAGATGATGAGAAAGGTCAAGACATAGATGTAATGCTTTTTAACAACAACGAGAATCAGAGTAGGTGAGTTTATGTAGTAAGGGTTAATTTTTTAATAGCGAGAACATTTTGGTAAGTATTTATTTTATGTGATTAATTTTGGCTGCATAACCACCTTTCTTGGTCACTTGAGTGTAGAAAAAAACGTTGTGAAGACAGCATTGACATATTGTCCCCTATTAGCAAAGTTTGGTTATTTACACATGCAGCAGTTATGGAGGAACATGATCACTCATTCTGTCTACCTGATGAATGTCATGCATTCAATCTTCACTTAGCTATGTATTTGGTCTGTACTAACTCCTGAGGTAAATAGCTGGCTTTTTCAAGCTCATAGTATGCTCCACTATGTTTACCAGCTGATCTCTAATGTGCCCGACTAGTGTTTGGTGCCGATCGGGTAGTGCAGAGTGGATTTTAAGAGCTTTCTCTCCAAAAAATAGCTGTCTGTCGCAGCCAAAGACCGCACAAGAGTGAACCAAAACAGTAAAGTAAAGTGCTGGGTCGCGCAACTCACTATGAAGCTCCGTAAAGCTGAGAGGATCATCAGATCCAGGTCATAATTCTCGGTAAAGTGATAACTAAAAGCTTCCACATTGTTTTCACATTCTAAATAAATACATTATCATTATAAGATATTTAAGTATACCTCTTTGGTTCTCTCTGACTGACATCCTTAACAATATCAGCACTGTTTTGAAATGACAGCAGACATCTTACATGTTTTTGTATTGTCCCTAATCGGCCCTGCTATTTCATTATTTAGGCTTTAATTATGAGTACTAACTTCAAGCTTGCTACTCGTTAGTGGCTTGAGACTCCAAATTTACACTTCAAAGTCATCCTCCTTGTTAGGCAAATCCTGACCTTTCCTAAAACTGAAACGGATCAAGAGAATGCAAATACTTTAACCTTCTTAGTGCCACATTTAAAGGGAAAGTAGGAGTGTGTGTTGTGGCTACACTCACTGGGCTTATCCTTGTGTTTTGGTAGTGTTGGAGGCTGACGCAGTGTTGCATGGTGGGAGTGAGTGGTGGGCATGTGTAGTCCAGGTTCTCTTTCACTTGCTGGGAAATGAGAGGTAGGGGAGCGTGATGAAGCAGCAACTTGACAATCTCCAGCAGAAGAACACCATCTTGCTCTTGTCTCTGCTGACCAGCGCTGCACGTGTTTTTATTTGACAGTCACTCACTGACAACGGGTTCTTGGAAAGTTGAAATTCTACTGCTTTTCCCAACCAACTAAGACACTTTCACATCTCCCATACACACACCTCTATCTCTTGAATGCCTAAGACTGGAAATAGATAAATAGATAAAATCATAGTTGATGAAGATGCATTATTTAAAAATTAAAAAAGTGATATTAAATTATTTATAGCTCAATCAAAGATAGTGCCCTTACTTTGATCCCAGCTACATGCAACTTTTACAACCTGGCATCCTTGCTTATGTTCTGTCTGGTGAACTGAAAGATAACTTTTGAACTTTTGGCACCCGGCGTGTTGTGTCAGGTCAGGGTAGAGGGGAAGAAATACACCATATAAAGAATAATGAAGCCTGCTGAACTGTTTGAAACAATGTTAAATCAGCTTGAGTCCAAATAGAGCACTGTGGTATTTTCACCAGAACATGTCTGCTACTATACAGCTATACCTATATGCAGAGATAAAAGAGGACAACTAGGGAATCTAAAAGAAAAAAATGTATTATCCCTGGAGAAAACCACCTTTTCTTGTAAACTGTAGTCCATTACACAGAAGTGGTCTAATCTACATGGTAACTGACATACACAGCCTTGTGAATAACTCTTTATGTTATCGGTTCATCCAGTTATTATTGTTACAACCTGGCTCTAAAGCCATGATAAAAGTGGGAGATGCCGTGTGAGGGCAAATGAATAATGCATTGATTTGAATTAATAGCATAAAGTTCTCACAAAATGAATAACAGGAACAGAACTAACACAAACAAATAAACAAGCCAGAGGACAGTCACACTATGAACTATAAACTACTAATTATGGTCCTAATTATTGGGGAAAATAGGACTTTTAAACAGTTTACTCTACTCTGAAATGCATTCAATTTGAACCAATGTTTTCCCTTTGTCTAATATGTGTTTTTATAGCTAACCTACTTAAACAACTTTGACTAAGAGAACAAATGTCTTGGGACCACTTAGTAGTTAAGGTATTAGTTCAGTTTTAGGGTTTTTGGTTAATTTTAGGGGGATTTCAGTTAATATACATAAACTCTAGATAAGTTATTAAGATATATTTAAAATTCGTTTATTTTTAGTGTCTTAATCTTCAGATAGTTTTGTGGGGGTGTCCCATTTTACATATCTCCTTTTTGTCTTTCAATTATACTTGTTTGTGAATTAAATGAATTAAATTGAAAATACAACAATAACATCAATTTATTCTTCATATTAATTAGGAGACATAAAATAAAGCGTTACGGAAACATTACTTGGATCCTGAAAAAAGAGCAATACAGCTGAGGGTGGTAGGCAGCCTTTAAACTATGATAAGGCTCACCTTCCAGCGTCAGCCACAGCAAGCTAAAGTAATAACGCTTCAAAATCCCATCTCTTTAATCCTTCCTAGTCAAAAATACTGCTCCTCCAGAGGAGCCGCATCAGTTCTGAACAAAACTAGGAGATAAATCCAGAAGTGGCAGATGTGGCGGCTGTTTGTAAATAGTTGTGAATATCTGATGAGCGACTTTCCATCAGCTCACAGCAAACTAACTTGAGCAGCTCAGTGAATCAAAAAGACGACCTTAGAGCCGACAGCGAGCCACCAGAGTCATCCAGCACCACTTGACAGTGCCATTTTAGTATTATAATTATCCAATTACATAGCTGATTGAACTTGAAACTCAATCTCATGTCTGCCCTCTTCCTTCTTACTGTGCCGAGACAAAACAGGCCAGCAAGAGATGAAGACACAAGAGGAGCACACTACCCCCCGAATACGATCTTTGTTGTATGTCCTGCAATATAAATGACTTCTTTGGAGTGATTTAAAAAATGTGCCTGGCTCTTACAGAGTAGAAAAGCAGTGAATTTCAGTAATTCCTTTACTGTAGGGTTAAGAGTTTGGTCTCTACACAGCTTTTGTCTGCCCTAAAAGTCAAGGACAGTCCTCACACAGCCAGAAACGGCTTCAACAAGCATTTCAACTTTTGAGCTACTCTGTATTATCACAGTCATGTCTCATTAGCAGCCGTATTAGCATTGTTCATCAAGTAAGTCCCTCAGTCAAGGGCACCTTGATTATATTCCCTATTTAAGCATCTACAAAGTGGTAGAAACAGTTAGTCAGTTACCTTCTGGTTTGCCTTTCCTCCATCCTTTGCTATTTTATGATGTAACATCAACATTACAGGAACGGCAATGATCCTTCACGGGGTAATTTCCCAAGATGTGCAAACATTTTCCGCTTCAGAATTACATACTGTAAAATAAATCTCCCTTAGGTGTAAAAGTTCATTCAAGGATTTCATGCGCCCTAAACCACCTTCTTCCACACGGGTAACACTTTTAGGCTGTATCAGGATTTGAGTCTGTAGCTGGGAAAGACATTTCAAAACCAGCAAAAGTTTTAATTTAGAAATATTAAGCATTCTTAGATTCAATACTTTTAGCATTTCATTTTCAAATTGCTATCATGTTGAACATTGAACATATTTAGTAATAGTGAATGCATTAACACTGTCTCTATATAGCAGTTTCTATTGTTAGTGCCGTGTTTTGTCCTTCTCAAACAAGATTTAAATTGCATTTACACACATGTTACTGTTTGTGATTTAATGTCAATAGGTGTATCTAATTCAACCCTTTTAGTGTGTGTACAGGTCTCTAAGTAACCAGGTTACCGTAAAGTCATTAGGTTAGGAATAATATTTCTCACCTGACGTTAGTTTACTAGACATGGCTTTCTTACATAACTGTAGAAGACACTGTTGACTTTTCTGAATGGTGCAGGCTAGTTTATTTTCTTTCATTTTGAGCCAGATATATGATTGATTTTTTTTCAAATGGAAAAAGAATCAATGCTCTGTAAGGGATCTCTCCTTTCATCCAGCTGCTGTTCAACCCATCTGGAGTGTTTTGCTATCCATATGCACTCACTTGAATACAAAATGTGGTTACATGTATACATAGCAGAGATACAGCAATATCTCGGAAACATTAAGTTAAACTAATGAAGTTTCGCTGATCCCTTTTCAAGTTACGCTAACCATTATTCGTTTACATGACATTTAAGAAATCAGCTTACTGGATAAAGCCTACTATAACCGCATTATTTCATTTCTTGTAAATTCTCGATACTAGCATCTCAGTTTACTTATTTCTTATATTTTCTACGGACTAGAAGAGCTGTATTGAGTTCCTGCTAATGCAAACCATTTTTTTCTCCTGCTCTCAAGTTCACATTAAAAGCATTCAACTGGCGAAACATCGTGTTGCTTTCATCGTGAAGCAGCAGATAGTGCAGAGTCTACAAATCAAGATGAAGGGCATGGCAGGACAGGAAAAACCGACTGATTTCTTTCATAAAACAAAAAGTTAACCCTGACTGAAATCTTAAGGACTATCTCCATATGCAAGCTTTGACATGATTTTGATGTTGTCATATGTTCAAAGGTCTTGATTAGTTGTTCATTATCAGATCCTTTCGGGAAAATGTCCATCTTGTATCTTATGTTCCGATTGATTCATCATCAGACACCACTTAACTGCACCAAAATATTCACTTAAAGTGGACCTATCATGCTATATTTGAATAATATAGTGTAGGACCATACCTATATAAGGCATATTTATACTTTTTTTTTTTCAAAATACCAAACAGATCATGCATTTTAGCCATGCCTCATTTCGCTCAATTTGAAAAATGTTAGCTCTGTTTTTGCAAGGGTTGATTCTGTGAGCAACAGCACCATCTAGAGGCCTGGCATATGTACTACAGCGTCTCCAGCGCTTTCGAACGGCAATGGCCGTGGCTGTCTCCTCCTGATTGGTGGAGTTGGCCCAATAGCCGTAGCGCCACCGTCCTGACGTCAGGACAGTGTTCAAATCTGGATCAGTTTTTATCAGATCCGTTGCAGCCCCTTTTTTAGAGATTTGGGTATGGAGGAAAATAGAGAGGGTTGTGTTTTCTGACACTTGGTGAGTTCCCTGGAACACCGGGGACACATATTCATGTATAAAAGACGTACAAAAGTGCATTTTGCATGATAGGTCCCCTTTAAATGAAGCCAATGGTGTGTTGAATAACTTCCTTAATATGCAATATTTGTCATACACCGAGACCCATTATGTAGTTTTTCTTCATAAATAGACCAGAAATGAAGCTGGTTAAAAAAAGATTGATTATTACCATTTAGACAAAAACATGAACACCTGGAGTTAGCATGTGTGTGTGTGTGTGTGTGTTCCTCTGACCTGTGATGTGTGTGTAGGCTGCAGGTTGTGCAGTCCTGACTTGAAGTCATGGATTTGGTTCTTGAGTTGTTGTTTTTCTTCGATACTCTTCTGTAGCTCTGCCTCTCGCTCCTTCAGCTCGTCTCTCATCCTCAGCAGTTGCTAAACACAAAGCAGAAGATGGGTCAGTTGTTAATGTTTCGCCAGGCTGATCTTTGACAGAGGGATAATCATTTCCTGTGATGCAGGGTCCCAACCTTAACTTAGAAAGAAACAAAACCAAAACTCATTCATCAGCTTCTTTTTTGAATGTTGTGCTGAATAATGCATCAGTTACCTTGGCGTGTCAGTTGAGGTGAGCGAGCACTGGACACAGACCTGCACATAATGAGCTCACCTGCATATCAGGGACCTCATTTATAACAAGCACTCAAATATGTGTTTTTATTATGTTGTCAAGACAATGGCAATGATCACATTATAATGTAATATTTTTGACATGGTGCATAGTCATTACCTGTATTTTGTCTGAATCATTTTTAGTTTTTGGTAAACACACACTGCAGTGTAGAAACATAGACAGGTGGGAGGGAAAACAAATGGAAATGATATCTGGCAATAAAATGGTTGTCCAGTGAAAAAACTGATGACATGAGGAAGGTGAAAGCAAAGAAAGTTTATATACTGTATGCCCAACTTATACACTGACGCATTTTCAAAAACCTCAGTGTAGGAAAAAGTCTAAAGTTATTTTGAACAGTCTCTGTAGAAATGATACTTTTTTTAAATGTACTGTGTAGTTTTATTTGGCTAATTTACTATAATTACTGTTCATATTAGTCTGATATGTTAACAGGATGACAAGCTAAAAAGCAGAAACATGAAATATGTAATTAACCGAATCTGATCAGCTTTAAAGTCTGGCATTCAATCTGTTTTGGGAAGGAAGCAGGTAAAATAACATACTACACTTAGCATGTGAAAGTAACAGCACATGATTGAATCTCAGGAAGGTGTAAATGTAATCTGTAAAGCAGGTATTGGCATCGGATGTTGTCTAACCCGCCAAACTATTTATCCAATTTTCTATAGTGATGCAGACAGAATGCAAGTAACAACAAACAATAAACAATTTCCTGATGTAAATACAAGGCCTACAAATTGATGTAACAAATCAGAAAACATATTTAGATTTAAACAGATTGTAGTTCAGAGTCAGATGTAAATGATATATCAGACCGGAGGCTATTTTGTCAATAAAAATAAACTGTTGTCAATCATAGTGCTATATAATTGCATATACATGTATGTATTGTTATATGTAGCAAAGGGCTCTAGCAGACTTAAGGTTTCAAGGGTAAGGGTTATCAATTCAATTATATCCTGCTGAATATATTTCACTGGCCTTTGAAAGAACATCTATTATACAGAAGAGAAGTGCTCAGATTATCTACTGATGTTTTACTGGGGCTATTTGACAACACAGCAGGTGATCAGTAAAAGTGGATAACCGCCTGAAGAAATGTTATTATTTCAAGTGGATTACTTACTATGTTCTTGAGGCTAATATTCTATTTAACATAGCCTACAGCTGAAGTTCTCAAAGCTGGTCCTTACGACACAGAACAATGTGTTTTCTTTAATCAAGCCATTTTAAGGATGTGCTTTCTGTACAAATGTCAAATTCTATTGTTCAACAAAACAACAATACATTATATCCTATCCCCACAATAAACACATGCCTGCAGCTACCAAATATTGGATTAGTATCTGTGGCACAAGTGTTACTGTAAGAAAATAATGCAAATGTTGTATTTGAAGGTGTCCTTTTCTCCAAATGTAACTACAGTTAAGACATTATTAAACATCAAATAAATAGTATTGATTGATCAGGTTACACAAGTTGTTGTGTGGTTGAAAATATTGAATTTACTGCAGCTGAGAAGCCATTCTTTAATGACTATTATAACTATTTATTGTAGGCTTACTTAAAAGTAGGGAGTAGGTATTAAATGTAAAAAATGAAAATAAAATAAATCACCTACTGAGGAAAAATGCATTAACACGAGCACTAAAATAATACTCATTAGCAATTCATCTGATAATATATTCACTGTTTAGTCTACCATCTCCCAAACACCTACCACAATGGCCCCATGGCACCTTATTGAAATGATTTTGTTCAAATAACAGTGTATAATGAAGGGATATTAAATATTTCATGATAAAAAAGCAACCCTTTGCAAGGGTACAATTGTGGGTTTAAACATATCTTAAATCCTGAATCCTGAAGGATGTAATAATTACAACATTTCATGCCTCAAAGCTCCTACACAGTCATCGTCCACCCACTCAGGTGTTCTCACTGAATGTACCTGATCAGAGCTCAGACTATCAGCACTGTGTGGGCGAGAAGACACAATCGTTAGGATGATGCATCTGTTTGGACGGGACAATCAATGTCTTTATCATTCTAATTGGTACATGGCATTTAGTGAACTCATATTTCCCAGCATTCCTAGCAGAGGTCTACTCAGGCAGAGTGAAAACACCTGTGTGGGTGTGCAGCAGAGGTTGCGTTAGACTTTTTAGTTGCCTGTAATTTTGACGGACAGGATCGTAACATTTCCGTCATAATCCATCATTACCCGTCGGGTCTTTAACAACGAGCTGACGAGGGGGGGGGGAGAGCACCCTCGTGCACTGTCAACACCCTCGTGAAGTATTAGCGCCGGTGTTATGCCGTGTTATCAGCGTGTCATGCATGCACCTCGCTGGGAGCGCACACAGCGTAAAGCAAAATCTCGCAGACATTTCAATGATTTGTACGGCAAAGTACGGTTTGGAACCGATATAATGTCCTTTCTGGCGGGCATGCATAACACGGCATAACACCGTAGCCTCGCTGCGGGGAAGATTTGGCGCTGTTCTGAGTTTGTTCTAATCTGTCAAAATTAGTTAGTTAATTAAAACTGCTTTCAGATTTTTCCGTCATTGTTAAAAAAAAGAAATTTGGTTAACGCGACCTCTGATGTGCAGGGCCTTTAAATACACCTGGAAGCAGCAACGCCAGGTGTATAGCTTCAGCACAAAACATATAGACTGGCACAATGACAAAGTTAACAGGAACACAGAGTGGCTAGTGGCAATTTGAGGATTGACAATAAAAGCGGGTTAAAAAGACAAAGACAGCATAAAGTAATTGGTGAAAATAAAGTGAAATAAACATAAAATACAGTCATTTGTATTTGTTTTAGTACATTTACGTTACAGTCCTTTGTTTTAGTAGTTATTTTTCATTTAAAGTATTTGTTTTAGTAACTTTAAGTGACAATTTAAATAAAAAACAAAAACAGTATTTGCTTTTATATAAAGTTATGAACAGTTTAATCTCCACTTTACATCCGGGTGTCTGATTTGATTTAGTTCCCATAAATCGTAATATTCTAACCTTTTTTTTTAAGGGGGGCCACAGGTGGGTCCCTGGTCAGTTTTACGGGGGCACTGGCCCCTGTTGGCCCCCACTAGAACCGCCCCTGCGAGCGGGTATTCTTCTGTTAATCGTGTCATTGCCTTTTGAAACCAAAGCCCTGACCCCTGAGATCTTTAAAATCTAGTTTGACCAACGTTCCCTGCAAAAGGAACATTATTTTTCTTATCTTGAAAAAATTAGGGTTACTCTAATATAGACTTTATCAGTGAAAAGAGATTTTTCCATCACAAATACTGTATATCCCTCCGGCTGCTGGGCAAAAAGCGTAAAGGTCTTAATGTCAACTGCTTTAATACTTGTTATACAGTGAACTGAAAAACTTTTTCTTGTGCAACAGCCCTGTAGATGGCCTGGGGCCGTGAAGTCTGATCTCTTCTTGAATCCCTGATTACTAATAGCTATGATAAGCCAAAGCTGCCATTTACAGTCGTCCAATCAGTCCACTCCCTATGATTTTTGCAATATCACACAGGGCACAGGAATGCAAAGATTGAAGCTGCTTTAACAGCAAGAAGATGGTAATCATGCTGATTGGAACGACTCAGAATGCCAACAAACTTCCTGCATGACTAAAATGGGGCTTTTGTACAACGTCTTCTTTAGCTGATAATGGAATCATTTCGAAGTACGATTAGGCCAGGACCTTTTACAAACATGTTTCAAGAGTGTTCTGAATCAAGTGCAACAGCTAAGTGATTTCTTATTATTCTGGTAGCATGGAAATTCTCAAAGAAAAAATGATATACAGGAAACAAATATTTGTTGATTGTTTCGGAGGGAATAAAAACTTGATTATACTATGTACGGTATATATTATACAAAATAATAGATTGATTGATCGGGTGGATATTTTTCGAAACAAAAACGTTAGGAATGCATTTATTTTGATTTAGATGCTTGTATTCTATTTGGAACCATATTACTCAATAATATATTGCTCGTTTTAAAAATAATGCATGTGTAAAAACTACTGACTCAAGTCATCTGTTTGGTGCTTTAATTTGAATCAAAGGATACAGCCAGTGAGATGATATAATGTAATAAATACGCGAAAATCTGAGTTAGATTCGCATGATGTTTAGTAGTTATAATCATTTAGTAAAATGGTCCTTCCTAATGTATGAGCCATCTTTAGTATGCTTCTGTATGAAACGTACCTTCTGCATGCCCTGCAGAGCCTGCTGCAGGAAGCTGAGCTGCTGAGAGCGTGTGTTGTCCTCCTCGCTGATGATTGGTTGGTTCTTGCCTTGTTCCTGTTTGAGCAGCTCCACCTCGTTCCTGTAGGCGTCCAGCTGGCAGCGCAGAGAGTCGTTCTCCTCCTTCAAGGCTTCCGCTTGGGAAACACCTGCAGAATCACACGGGACACAAACACACACTATTCAATCAGGAAATAATTTGAATCTGTATAGTTTCTGTCTTAATGCCAAACTATATTGTTTTCTTTCTATGGGTTTCCAATTCAATTCAATTTCTTGATTATTTTAAAAATACTTTTGAACCATACATTTGTGAATACTAGTAAAATAACTAATACAAAAAGATAAAATGTTTCCACTGGTGTTAATTAAATGTAAGGATTACACATATCCACTGACTTTATAGAGTTAAAAATATTATCATGTCTGTATTTTTTAACCTCGTGCAGAGACAATTGCATGAGCACAAAATGCTGCAGAAAAATGAATTGTGTTTAATCTTAATGACAGGAAAAGTGTAGAGAAACCCTCAAGAGACTTTTTTACAAAGAATGACTCTCCCCCTTTTATATCTATGCTGGGTATGAGAGCGTTTGAGAAATGGTGTTCCCATGAAGGCACTAAAATACAATTCCTTTTGAAAAATGGAAAATGCCTTTTATCTCTTAATAGGCTTTTGAATTCAATAGGTTTTCATTTTTCCTATTCTTTTTTTCACAATAACTTTCCTGAAGAGATGTGATTCCCATTGACTGTAGTGTGACTGAAACAGAAAAAAGGAGGTTTATTGTTCTGAAATGCACTGCTAATATATTACTGAATGCCCCAAATCAGATTTCTAGTACACTTACTAGAAGCTTTGAAATCTAATATGTTGCGATCTCCAAAAATAATGTCCTACAATAAAATAAGGGTTGGCTCATACAATGTGAACAAGACATTTATTACATTCATTTCACGGTTACGTTTTTCTATCTGATGGCCAGGGTCGCATTTTAATAATTTAATTCAATTATTTCTAACCTAACCTATTAAAAAAAAGTCTGCTTTAGGCAATCTTATAATATCTATTTCAAGATGCATGTTGCCTTAGTGACAGTATCCATTAACTTAATTCAATTTAAACTAACTTTTGTCTCATAGCTCTTGAGTTTTTAAACAGTCCTGTTGAAGTCTCTGACCCCTCACAAACAAACAGACCATAATGCGTCTGTGTGCTGTTGGATACAAGGCGGCAACCTTCGGGTCTGTTAAGTGAAGACAATGCATGCCTTTAACTTGCATTCTCCCTCATATCCAACTCCTAAGGCTGCAAAACAGTCCTGTTGTATTCAAGTCTATAAGAACATTACCTAACTTCTCTGTTGATTTATTACCTCAGTAAAAACAATCCCTGCTGAGTTTACTGTTATATTGCATGTTTCAAGTCTTGTTCAATATTTGTAACGTTACGCTTAATTTGAGTCCCAATTTAGAGTAAAAATACACGACAAAGCAGGGTATGCTTAAGGGCTAGGATACCTTGTGATTGACAGGTCAGTACCATGCTGTTGTCTGGGTCAAAGTGTTTTCAGATCATGAAAGTTAATTGGAACATATTGGTCGTTTAAAAATGTCTTTTCAGTATTTAGTTGTACTTTGTATTACCCTCTCGTATGCAAAAAAACAAGATGGCAACGGCCAAAATGCCAACCACGAGACTTCGATACTGTGGGCCACAAAGCCATGGTTGTTGTCCCGATTATTTGTCCACTTCTTTTATGCATCCTATGTGTGATGGAAACTTCTGAAGCAATGGAGACGGGACTCCGAGAGACACGGAGAGAGCAAACACTGATGGTTTATTATGGAGTTATGGCCGGAGAATTGACAAGACATTTGATGCCGCCACGAGGGGTCACAGCGGTTGCCAAAACAATTCTGAAGAACTCTTCTGTAATTTGAGGTTTTAACTAGTTCGGAGTGTAATAATCAACAATCCTCATCAGCGAGACTGAACAAATATGGACCCTGAATCTAACTAGAGCTGTCGTCCATAGAAAAGAATGTGCGCCAGGGAACCTACTTTCCTGAACAGTAAACTATCTCATGTCAGCTTGTGCTGTCATAGCCTCAACAATGCGCCCAAGCTGCCCCTACTTAAGAGAGATAGCAGCAATACCCGAGGCTGTAGACCTATGCCATTGGAAAAGAGACAGTGAAAGGAGAAAAACGATGAACTGTGTCAAAGGTTGAATACCTAAGCAAATTATTCCCTAACACTATGGTCGATACACACGGACATGCTGGAGATTAAGGCCAGTTTTGCTCAGAAAGAAATAGCTTGCTTGGTATGTGGTCCATCGCGTCAGCTTAAGAAGTGTTTGTTCCTGAACAGCCAGGCAGGGTGAAAGTCAGCCATTAAGGAGAGAGGGGAGATGTGACATTATTAAAACATAGAGGGTTCTAAAGCTGTTTGACTGTCCCATAAGGAGTCCTGGTGGATTGAACTGGTGCCTTAAAGCTTTTGTCTGGAGCTACAGTTAAAATCAACACTTATATATCAGCTCGAGTCTGAGCTTACCATCTGCTGCCTAAATCAAATCAGCTGCCTTGTGACAACACAGTCTTTCTCATAATCTATTTATCCATAAGGGTAGCTTGAACGCTTTATGATGTCCTGATGTCCATCTGTAGCAAACAAAATACACTTATTTTCATTTGTGTCTTGATTGTTTTTACTTGACTTCGAGTCAAACTGCGGTTTTGTTGTTCTATAGATTAGTTTGTTATTGTATGCTTTGTTTATATATTAAGGGTTTAACTATTGTGATTTTTCTAATGTGTTAACACATCTCTATAATCAGCAGGTCTCCTGAGGGTTAGCTAGGGTGTGAATTAAATCAGTGAAGATACACCATTTTAATGAATTATCAGAAGAATGCAAATGTCATTCATTATAGTTCGTAATATTCTGAGGGTGTGAATAAGGCTCCTTCTTTTCAGCATTGCAATACAACTAAAGTGTGACAAATACAATTCAATACCTTATTCCTTTATATGGTGTAGAGAGGGATGAACATCAATCACATTCCCTTTTATTATTAAAATGATTGTCAATATAGGCCTGCTGTTGCATTGACTGCTAGTCAAATCAGGAAGACACCCAATAATAAGATTTCTAATATTTCATCCAGAAGGGTGCTGAAATAATGATATAAATTACAAGGTAACAATATCCTGAATTGTGCTCAATTTCACCTGTGTGACATAAATCACGTCACCATGTCACAGTGTCTATTATCAACATGGGGTAGGGGGAAGGGAGGTTGGGTGGTTGTACCCCGTGGTTGCACTAAATGGGCTGGCTCCGGCCTATATAGCTGAACTCCTCCAGCGCTACACCCCAGCCAGAGCTTTAGGCCCCGCTCACACGGGACCGTTTGCGTTTATGCACAGTATGCGTATTCAAAAAAGTCTTCCGTTCACATGCATTCGTTTCATTTAACGTGTCTGTTCAAACGAGACCGCTGGAACGCTGTAGTACATATGCCGGGACTGTAAGTGGCGCTGTAACTTCCGCCAAAATACACCAAAAGCCGCGAAGAAGAGCAGCCCGAGCAGCCCCGCCGCAATGTTGCCATGGCTACCCTTCTGTTTACGCCCAGCGGGGTATTTAGCAACATGTAGTTCATGTAATTCTCCATGTCCACTTGTTGCTGATGGTTGTGGTAGAGGAGCTGTAGATTTTGCACTAATATCTGTAGCATGGTCAGTAGCAGTAGCACTAGCAGTAGCTACTGACAGGAGGAAGTGTGTGTGGTGATTGCTGGTATTCAGCGGGATATAGTAATTTCCTCAGCATATGGATAAATGCAACGGGGAAGTTAACTGAAAGAAACCGAATCTGTGGATATTGCATCGACCGACCAAGAAGCACGTCTCTGTGGAGAGGACGGCTCAGAAAGAGAGATATTCTCTACAAACACCGGGTGAGATCGCACCTTTGTCAATATAATGGATCAATGCATGAAATCTGACTCTGTTTATTTTGTTTAAGGAGTATATTGGGCGTTAACAATTCTGGTTTGCCTTTTATAATATTATTTCATTCAAGAACCCCTTGTGCGTTTAATTAACACAGCTATTTTTGGTAGTTGCTACAGCAGTGAGCAGGAGAGGTGGGGAGAGGTGGGGCTATCGCTATTTTTTCAGGAAATATTCGTATAGAGGTGATTACACGGACTCGGTTGACCCCCCAGAGCGTTTCGTTTGCAAATCTATCCACCTTGGGACCCGTTATCGTTTGTGGGGTCAGTTTCTATCGGCCTCGTGTAAATAATAGGGCTATACGCACGCGAAACTATGCAGATGCAAGCAGTTTTCTCCTCGTGTAAACGGCGCCTTAAGGTCTGCTGACCAGCTGCTGCTGATAGTGCCCAAGACCAGGCTCAAAACCCGAGGTCACCGAGCCTTCGCAGCAGCTGGCCCTAGGCTCTGGAACACTCTGCCCCTCCATGTGAGGTCGGCCCAGACCCTAGGGGTTTTTAAATCTACTCTTAAAACACACTTCTTCTCCCTGGCCTTTTAGTCAGAGCGGAGCACGACTTCCTGACTTTTCCCTGTGTTTCTTTTTTATATATCTGTTGTAATTTATTGTCTTTTATTGTGATTGTAGTAATGTGTTTTTATGATTGTATTATTTATTACATGTACAGCACTTTGGCCCGACCAAAAATCGCTTTTAAATGTGCTTTATAAATAAACTTTGATTTGATTTAATTTGAAAGAAAACCCAACAAAAATAATTGAAAATATATATATATACATTTAAGGGATGGATATTCTCATAATGTCATATATAAGTTTTTGTGTGTTGTTGACAAATACTTTGAAAGGACTATGGTACTGTATATAAGTTAAGTGTGGAAACATGATTTTCTTTCATTTTTTGGAAGTTTTTCCTTGTACGATGCGAGGGTCTAAGGACAGAGGGTGTCGTATTGTCCTACTGATATTCTGTACAAACTGTCCACTGAGACAAATGTAACATTTGTGATATTGGGCTATATAAATAAACATTGATTGATTGATGAAATGAACATGTAATTTGGGGTATGTAATTTATTTAACACTTTTTGTTATATTCCATGGAATGCTCTTAACATCC